AAGTCAATTGGTACACTATATGGGCACACGACACAATAATCTAAGCTTGTGTAAAAAAAAAAATCGATAATTCTCGGACGCAACTGACGGTGCTTCATTTCCGGGGATTGGTACTCGATTAAATCCGAATAAATTTAAATCCCTTTGTCCGACAAAAACCCCCACAAAAAAAGGTAAACAGATAACGTAATAAATATGAATAAGTTAGGAGCAAAAAAAATTAACTACGTGATAGAATACAGGGTGGGCCAATGAAAACTTTCCACCCCGATTTTTTGGACTTGAAATGAAAATCTGGAAAAACGCTCAGACGCGTCAGTTTTTTATTTGAGGGGGACCCATTTTTTAGTTTTTATCACCCCTGAGGGGGGAGCGCAACCCCCCAAATTTGAATAGGGGATAGGGGTCGTGTCATACCTCTTTTTAAAGGTCTATGACCCTAGAATTTCGTCTCATTATTTTTATTCATAACTGTTTCGTCCACTCAATAGTTTTAAGTTATTTATATTAAATTGCTAAGATTGTCCTTCATTGAATTATTTTTGTTTTGTTTATTTTGCCAATTATTTATTGGAGTACCTACATAATTTGAATTTGGAGTAAACTTTTAATCCACGATTCACCCTTCAGATTATTTTCGCGTTCTTGAATATTTGAGGTCTTTATCTACTTGACGCATTGCCCTCATACAGGGTGTCCAATCTAAAACGAAACAGAGGAGTTTTTACATATTTAGAATTATTTAAATGAAAAACACTCGGAAACGTCGATTTTTGCATGAAAGGGGACAACTTTCAAATGCATCTTTAATGACCTACCTGTCATCCCTTAGCGGGGGCGCGTTCAACCCCTAAAAATTAAATAGGGAAAGTGGGTCGACTGACCCCTTAAATGAAAGCTCTTTAAATTCTCTTTTCAACGGTACCACATTTATTGACATTTATGTCAAAAAATTTGACAATGACGTGTCCTACCCAAGGCATTTCTCGTTTTAAAAGTAAAAAAACGGTTAACACGTGACTCCACAACTCGCAGTTGTAAACTGGATTAGGTAAGATCTGAATTGTACTCGTAATTTTGAAACCGCTAAATACAGTCCACTTTTCTCACAGCTGATGCTCAGCTATAGACTAGATTAACCGAGGAATATATAGAATATAGATTTTTTTTTACTACTGCTATGTAATCTGTGCTCTGAGTATTTTTTCATTATTTTCATTATTCACCTAGGGAGAGAAATTCAATATTTTCCTAGAAAAATAGATTGAATAATGACCATTTCTCAGGTTACTAGTAAAAAAATGTATATTATCATTTGTCTTTCTCTCTCTCTCTCGCTGTCTCACACACGTTACTGGTCATAAATCTGTCTTTGTCACACTCATTAATCTTCTAAAAAAAGTATGTAGGTACGTAAATATTTTTCCACAAAAATTTCCAAGACGATTTATTTAGGTACCTATCTACTTACTCAACACAACTAATGAGTGCAACAAAGACAGACTTATCATCCAGTGTGGAAAATATTCTAGTTTTTTTTTCAAATTTCTGCCCTTTTGTCCCAAATGAGTGCGAAAAACACAGACATTAAAAACGTGTGCTAGACAGAGAAAAAGACATGATCCGAAATTTTTGTTGAAAAAATTCTAGGGTTTTTCTAAAGCAAATAATCTGATTGAAATACTAGGAAAAAACTTGACAGAAGTTAAAAATCAACAAAAATCCCGGATTATGTCTCACTCTCTCTGTTTAACACACGGTTTTGGTGATAAGTCTGTCTCTGTCGCACTCATTTATTTCAAATTTTCAATATGGACGTTTTGAACAACTCAAAGTATGTACAGAAAAATTAAGAGTAGGTAACTATCAAAAAAAAAAGTTTAGTGAAAATACGAAGGAATTTACCTAATAGAAATAAAAAAAAAAACTTTAATTTTTCTACAAAAGTTTCAGATTATTTGACTCTCTCTTTCTGTCCAGCACACACTGCTGGTGATAAGTCTGTCTCTGTTGCACTCATTTGCTTTGACTTTTCACCACAAAAATTTCAAAATGGACATTTTGGGAGATTCCACCAACTCAAAGTACAGAAAAATTGAGAGTGATTGTTGAAACAAAAAATCTGAATAAATGTTTCGTATTATGTGTCTCTCTTTCTGTCTAACACACGCTTCTGGCAATAAGTCTTTCTCCTGTCGCACTCATTTGCTTTAGATTTTAACTACAACATTTTCAAAATGGACGTTTTTCAAGATTAACTAACTCAAAGTACAAAATAATTGAGAGTGACTGTTCAAATAAAATATCTGAGTGAATGTTTCGTATTATGTGGCTCTCTCTCTGTCTAACACACACTTCTGGTAATAATAAGTCTGTCTCTGTCGGGTCATTTGTTTTAAATTTTCTCTTTCTCCACAAAAATTTCAAAATGGACGTTTTAGAAGATTCATTAGCTTAAAAGTACAGAAAAATTGAGAGTAACTTTTCAAACAAAAAATCTGAGTAAATGTTTTGTATTATGTGACTCTCTCTCTCTGTCTAACACACGCTTTTGCCAATAAGTCTGTCTCTGTCGCACCAATTTGCTTTAAATTTTCACCACAAAAATTTAAAAAATAGACGATTCGGAAGAATCACCAACTCTAAAGTACAGAAAAATTGAGAATGACTGTTAAAACATAAAATTTGAGTGAACGTTTCGTATTATGTGTCTCTCTCTCTGTCTAACACACGCTTCTGGTAATAAGTCTGTCTCTGTCGGGTCATTTGTTTTAAATTTTCTCTTTCTCCACAAAAATTTTAAAATAGACGTTTTGGAAGATTCATCAGCTCAAAGTACAGAAAAATTGAGAGTGACTATTCAAACAACAAATCTGAGTAAATGTTTCGTATTATGTGTCTCTCTCTCTGTCTAACACACGCTTCTGGCAATAAATCTGTCTCTGTCGCACACATTTGTTTAAAATTTTTACTACAAAATTTTCGAAATGGACGATTTCCAAGATTAACTACTCAAAGTACAAAATAATTGAGAGTGACTGCTCAAACAAAATATCTGAGTGAATGTTTCGTATTATGTGTCTCTCTCTCTGTCTAACACACGCGTCTGGTAATAAGTCTATCTCTGTCAAGTCATTTGTTTTACATTTTCTCTTTCTCCACAAAAATTTTAAAATGGACGTTTTGGAAGATTCATGAGCTCAAAGTACAGAAAAATTGAGAGTGACTTTTCAAACAACAAATCTGAGTAAATGTTTCATATTATGTGTCTCTCTCTCTGTCTAACACACGCTTCGGGTCATGAGTCTGTCGCACTCATTTGTTTGAAATTTTTACCACAAAATTTTCAAAATTTTTTGGAAGATTCACTAATTCAAATTATGTACAGAAAAATTGAGAGTGACAATTCAAACAAAAAATCTGAGTAAATGTTTTGTATTATGTGACTCTCTCTCTCTGTCTAACACACGCTTTTGCCAATAAGTCTGTCTCTGTCGCACCAATTTGCTTTAAATTTTCTCCACAAAAATTTAAAAAATAGACGATTCGGAAGAATCACCAACTCCAAAGTACAGAAAAATTGAGAATGACTGTTAAAACATAAAATTTGAGTGAACGTTTCGTATTATGTGTCTCTCTCTCTGTCTAACACACGCTTCTGGTAATAAGTCTGTCGCTGTCGAGTCATTTGTTTTAAATTTTCTCTTTCTCCACAAAAATTTCAAAATGGACGTTTTAGAAGATTCATCAGCTCAAAGTACAGAAAAAATGAGAGTGACTTTTCAAACAACAAATCTGAGTAAATGTTTCGTATTATGTGTCTCTCTCTCTCTGTCTAACACACGCTTCTGGTGATGAGTCTGTGTCTGTCGCACTCATTTGTTTAAAATTTTCAAAATGGACGTTTTGGAAGATTCACTTATTCAAATTATGTACAGAAAAATTGAGAGTGACCATTCAAACAAAAAATCTGAGTAAATGTTTTGTATTATGTGACTCTCTCTCTCTGTCTAACACACGCTTTTGCCAATAAGTCTGTCTCTGTCGCACCAATTTGCTTTAAATTTTCACCACAAAAATTTAAAAAATAGACGATTCGGAAGAATCACCAACTCTAAAGTACAGAAAAATTGAGAATGACTGTTAAAACAAAATTTGAGTGAACGTTTCGTATTATGTGTCTCTCTCTCTGTCTAACACACGCTTCTGGTAATAAGTCTATCTCTGTCGAGTCATTTGTTTTAAATTTTCTTTCTCCACAAAAATTTTAAAATGGACGTTTTGGAAGATTCATGAGCTCAAAGTACAGAAAAATTGAGAGTAACTTTTCAAACAAAAAATCTGAGTAAATGTTTCATATTATGTGTCTCTCTCTCTGTCTGACACACGCTTCTGGTGATGAGTCTGTGTCTGTCGCACTCATTTGTTTAAAATTTTCAAATTGGATGTTTTGGAAGATTCACTAATTCAAATTATGTACAGAAAAATTGAAAGTGACCATTCAAACAAAAAATCTGAGTAAATGTTTTGTATTATGTGACTCTCATCTCTCTGTCTAACACACGCTTCTGCTAATAAATCCGTCTCTGTCGCACTAATTTGTTTTAAATTTTCACCACGAAAATTTAAAAAATAGACGATTCGGAAGAATCACCAACTCTAAAGTACAGAAAAATTGAGAATGACTGTTAAAACATAAAATTTGAGTGAACGTTTCGTATTATTTGTCTCTCTCTCTGTCTAACACACGCTTCTGGTAATAAGTCTATCTTTGTCGAGTCATTTGTTTTAAATTTTCTCTTTCTCCACAAAAATTTCAAAATGGACGTTTTGGAAGATTTATGAGCTCAAAGTACAGAAAAATTGAGAGTGACTATTCAAACAACAAATCTGAGTAAATGTTTCGTATTATGTGTCTCTCTCTCTCTCTCTCTCTGTCCAACACACGCTTCTGGTGATGAGTCTGTGTCTGTCGCACTCATTTGTTTAAAATTTTCAGAATGGACGTTTTGGAAGATTCACTTATTCAAATTATGTACAGAAACATTGAAAGTGAGCATTCAAACAAAAAATCTGAGTAAATGTTTTGTATTATGTGACTCTCATCTCTCTGTCTAACACACGCTTCTGCTAATAAATCCGTCTCTGTCGCACTAATTTGTTTTAAATTTTCACCACGAAAATTTAAAAAATAGACGATTCGGAAGAAGCACCAACTCTAAAGTACAGAAAAAATGAGAATGACTGTTAAAACAAAATTTGAGTGAACGTTTCGTATTATGTGTCTCTCTCTCTCTCTGTCTAAAGCACCGTTCTGGTGATGAATCTGTCTCTGTCGCACTCAAAATGGACGTTTTGGAAGATTCACCAACTGAAAGTTCCGAAAAATTGATAATAACTAAACAAACTAAAAAAACAACAAAAAAGAGTAAAAATACTTACATACCTACTAAGAAAAAATTTAACAAAAATTAAAAAAGTTTCAGATTATGTGTCTCTGTCTCTGTTTAACACACGCTTTTGGTAATAAGTCTGTCTTTGTCGCACACATTTGTTTAAAAAAAAAACTTTTCCACAAAAATTCATTTTGAAGATTAGCAAAATAAAAATTAAGACAAAAAAACTGAAGTTGACACAAACATTTTGGACAAATGTCTCTCTAGCACACGCTTCTGGGCATAAGATTTTCTCGTCGAAAGTACAGAATTCCACCAAAATTGTTTATATTATTATGTGTGTGTCTCTCTCTCTTTGTCTAATACAAGCTTCTGATCATAAGCCTGTCTTTGTCGCACTAATTCGTCCTGAATAAAAGACCCAAACCAGTAGCGACGCGCGACAATTAGTCTGGGGGAGGGTAAATGGTAGAGGGGTAATTACCCCCATTGCTCTCCCCCCCTCCCCCCGAATCGACGATCTTGACTCAAACAGATTTTTTATCAGGAAGATAAACAAAAATTGATCAAAATAAAAAATCTGAGGAGAAATTATAAGAAAAATATGGATTGTAGGTATGGAACAAGAATTTTTTCACTTATGTATATTTCTTTTTTTGTCTAACACAAGCTTCTGGACATAAGTCTGTCTTTGTCGCACTCGTTTGTCTTTAAAAAAGTACCTGGAATCCAGGAACACTGTCCCAATTTCATTTAATACTCTTACCTCAGTGACCGATTCCGTTTTATAGTGCGTAATTTTTTCTAGCATTGTCTAGAGACAATTCGCTTCCATTCCTCATAAATTAGTCGTGGAATGATGCAAGATATTGTGCACAATTTCTCTAAAATTAATTAGAATTTTCATTTGAGTCCACACTACGATTCCTTGATGAATAATTAATTTTTTTTTTTAGGTGTCGCTGTTGGTTGGGGCGCAACATCCCAACAAGGTCAAATATCCACCAAGCTCAGAGAAGTTACCGTACCAATAATGTCAAACATAGATTGCAAAAGAACCGGATACACTTCCAGGATAACTGATAACATGCTGTGCGCTGGATTCAAAGAGGGAAAAAAGGATTCTTGTCAAGTAACAATTGGTACATTTTATTAGTGATTTATTGAATTATTATTTTTAGGGTGATAGTGGAGGTCCTTTGCACATAATCAATGGAAGTTATCATAATATTGTTGGTAAGAATTATTTAGATTGTATACACGCACGATATAATGAATTCCTTCAGAGGACTGTCGTAATTTCATAGCGCGTTCATTAAAGAAAATGTAAATTTTATTGAAAAATCAGACATACAATAATCGTGAATGGTGCTCACCTGTTGCTAATTTTGGGAACTCCCAATATGTCCAATAGTTGTGTTCACCCACACCAATTCACCTCACAACCATAGAGATAAGAGTTTGTAAAGCACTGATTTGCGGTAAAATCATGCTTTGCGTCGTACATATTCCCTTTAGGGTTTGAATATGCGCCGGCGGCGTACCAATAAGAAAAGTGTATGTACTTTTGAAAAATAAAAAAAGAAAAAATAACTCGTACGTGCGTATACAGATTGCATCTGATTTTTTTTTTTTTAGGAATTGTTTCCTGGGGAGAAGGATGCGCTCAGCCAAATTATCCAGGAGTTTATACAAGAGTGAATCGTTATATAACATGGATTATGTCTAATACAAAAGATGCTTGTTATTGTTAATAAAAAATAAATTTCATTCTAACACAGATTTATTCATATATATAAAAAAAAAACACTGTACAACAAAATAACACATTTTTGGTCAATGCATTTTTTATTAATACTGGAATATAAAAACTCTTTGAAATTTAGTCCACAATAAATAATAAACTATAATTAATAAGGTACATTGATCACTAGAAGTCCAATTTATTATTACCGCCCCCTCCGCACATGAGACTTGGTTTTTTATCCTTATCATCTTGTATATCTAAAAAATTCATTAAACAATAATGCAACTTATAATATTGAAATAATTACCAGGGGGTAAATGTAAAACTTCTATATTAAACTTTTTCCTCCGTAATTTAAACACATACTCGGCTGTACCAGGATGTTTTGAAGCCAAAGAATTAATTGCTGCCAATTTGGTCAAATAAAAAAACCCGTTGTAGTCTTGCAGGCTTTGATTGTGCTCCAATTCGGTTCCACTAAACGATTGCAATTTCATTGCTATATCACTAGAGTGGATACATCTTTCAATTGATTCCTGTTTATAATAAAATAATTATTAACCAATAAAAATAAAATTATTAACTTACTTCATCATATAAATAAGACGGTATTGTGATTACAGCAACAGCATGAGCAGATCTAACTAAAGCCCTAAGGCAAAATATAAACATGTGTAAATCTTGACTGTGTCCATGTATAGATTTTCTTGGCGGCAACCACATTGCAGATCCCAAAGAATGTATTCCTATTCGAAGTATTGTCTTTTGTTCCCTATCGTCTTTAAGAAAAAATTCCCCATCTTTGATACGATTTTTAATTGACTTGAGTAGATCGTGATAGGACGGATTCAAAAACGAATTATTATTCAATTCGGTTTCGATCCTCTGACCGGTCCAATAGAAAATGTCAGAGTTTTCTATGTCGCTAAAGGATATGTTTTTTGATATGTCGAAATGATGACCGATGGCTTTATTTTTTGTTTCGTCCATCGGTTTGGTTGATACGTTTTCGTAACGGAACGCTATTCTTAATTTATCATTGGCTACTATTGAATTGTCTGTTGATTCGACGTCGTTTTCAATCACAGCCGGTAACTCTTTGACCTAAAAAAAAAACTTTTAAAGTAATTTTTGTGAGCTTATTTGTTGCTTACTAATTTTGAAGGATTGACGTCCTGACTAGCAACGAATATGGAATGTTTGGAGATCAAACCTTCGGCAAGGAAATGTTTGAGTAACACTTTCGAGTGTAATCCTCTGAGATCTTCTTCTGGAATTTATAAAAAAAAAATGTTGTTTTTCATAGTGTTACAATTTAAAGTTTTCAAAAAAATATAAAAGTAAGGCAAAATGTATGCTAATGTCATTTTGAGTCCATGAAATTAAACCACTTTGGAACTTTCCAACTGCATAATTATTGAAGCTATATTGCATTTTTTTTTATTTTTGAAGGATTTAATTGGCTTTATGGGTCAATTCTGTGCACATCTGTAAGCAATTCTATAAATTTCTATAAGTCTATAGCTGCCTAAAGACAATTTGTAATTCTGCACTTCCTCTAGATTACAGAATATATTATAGGATCGTTAATATTTCCGATGGAGTGTTTGGCAATCGATGCATTTTGCAGTGTCTATAGGCTTATAGAAATTTATAGATTTGCTTACAGAAGTGCACAGAATTGACCTGTTAATTAGAGTTTAATTATATTGAAATCAGATGAAAATTAACATAGTTATGAGGCAAACATTGTCTCAGTGTCATTTTTGGAAAATTATTCAATAAATTCAATTTTGAAGCTTCTCAGGTCACTTAGATTAGAGATTAAAGTGTGGTAACGTTACCGCGGTAACGGTAATTTTGGTTATTTAACCCTACAAATTTCTTTACCGGTAATTTTCAGAAATGCTTCCTGGGTCCTTATTCTTGAAACTGGGGAGCAGCGTGCCCAGGAGAATGAGTGTTTCGTCTTTCTCAATGATATGCAAATGTTAATATAAGTAACAAAGACGGAACACTCGTTCTCCTGAGAACGCTGCTCCCCTGTTTCAAGAATAAGGACCCAGAATGAAATCACATTCAGGCGACAATCATTTTCATGCATTATTCGCCATCTTGTTGTGAATCTGTAACGCGCTTTCAGGGTTGGCATAAACAAATAGTTATTCACCTAACAAGTGCGGAAAGTGGTGCTTTTCCGCACGCGACGGCAGTTAGCAAGCTGTCAATGGTGAAAAAGATATTTTCCGTAGAAGTTAGGAGTAATGTTTTTCCACAAGTATTTTTGTCCTTCTCATTTATCAAAAAATCTATGTAAGATCTAGGTTTTCTCAATGGAAAATAACCTATAGATAGTAGTTTGATTTGAAGTAAAAAATATGTAGTACCTATATTTTGAATTAGAACATTATGCTCGTAGGAAAAACCTACTTCAAAAACCTGGTGGGTTGTTGTTGAGTTATGAGTTTGAGATTATTTGGAATGTCAAAGAGTCAAAGATCTTAAAATACAAATATCCTACAAAAGCATAACTTTCGCAAAAACCCAAAAAACCAATAGAAATTTTCAAAAACCCGGGTTTTTGCCAACCATGTGCGCTTAAAGTAATTAATTTTCTTGACAGAGTTATTTCTTATGCTATACTTATTCAGCTCATTTTATTTATTTGTTTTCTTTTGGCCCTTTAAAAGTAGGTATTTACCTTTCGTTGAACGTAGGTATAGTATAGATAATATCGTTTGTTTCATGAAATATTTCCAAAATTACCAAAATAACTGAAAAATTACCACTGAGAAAGCACAGATAAAAATTACCAGTAAACTTCAATCTCTATAAGGGTCTACTCTTTGCGGATGATTTTAGATGTTTTTCCGGGTTAGTTCAATTGCAGACTGCGAAATGCTTCAGAATGATTTCTGTAATGTTGCCAACTGGTGCAATGACAACCAATTTAAGTTGAATTTCAGTAAATGTTCATGTATGTCTTTTACCCTTAATAACAATACTGTACAGTTTGAGTATACATTGAATGACGTTGCGCTTAATAGAGTCAAAATTCAGAGGGATTTGGGTATAATTTTTGATTCGGCTCTATCTTTCTCTAAACATATTGTCAGTTAAATTGAAAGTGCCCAAAATATGGCTGGTTTCATTGCTCGGAGTTCAGTGGATGTGAGTTTACACCTCTTTGACAGCCTTGTGGCGCCCATATTGGAGTATGGAAGCATAATATGGTCCCCCCAATATAATGTATGGTTAACAGTGCCTGAGAGTGTGCAGAGAAAGTTTTTAAAAAATATGTATTTCAGAAAGCATGGTGTCTATCCGCCGACTGGATATGACAACTCTCAACTCTTGAGAGAATTTAATAGATTAAGTTTGGAACATAGACGAATTAAAATAGTGCTTTGCATGATGTTTAAGTTATTAAAGGGAAATATAGATATTCTGAGCCAGTTTCCTTTCGCTATTCATCATATTCACTCGCGTAATTCAAAAAAAAAAAATTCCTGGCAAATCCGAGAGTTAATCTTTATAAAAACTCCCCTATCTACAGAATGTGCAATGTTTTCAACTTGTACGCTTGTGACATTGACATTGATGTCATTTGTTACAAATCATGCATACTATAAACTGTGCTATTACTTATAAATAAATAAATAAATAAATAAATAAATAATAATAATAATAAAGATAAAAGGCTGAAATTTTTAGTGATTTTTATCCCAGTAGAGGACAACAATCCCTGAAAATTTCAGCTCATTTGGACTTATAGTTCCAGAAATAAAATCTTGTTAAGCAATTTGGGATTAGACATTATTAGACATTAGACATTATATTACGTAAGGTTATATACATGTTCACATTTTGTATCTTAATGGTAACAGGTTTATGATATGGTTAATAACAAGTATATCCAGCACCTAGATGACTTAACATCCGTATGTGCCATTTGAATTTAACTTATTTGTTAGTAAATAATAATATGATAATTATTGTGTATTGTTTGTCAACAGCAAACAACATCACAATATTAATCCTAAAAAAAAGTTCATTTTATTTTCATAATCTAAGAACTAGCCTAATCTACTCCTAAATTAAAAACTAAACTAATATAGCCTACCCATTAAGAAAAGGAGAATAAACTCCCAAGAGATTCAATCAAAACAGAACCATAAATTGCTGGAGATTCCTGAAAATGTATCTCTTACATTCAGCACAGAATTTCTTATGGTTCTTAATAAGTTTTATGCTACCAGGAAGCAACTTATAACATCTTGGAGCCAAATAGTTTATGAAGCGTAAATTAATATTTCTATTACTATTTGGAATAGCTAAGTGCCTGTTGACTTTAGTCCTAGTAGCATAAGCATGGTCTACATAGTTTCTTAAACAATTTTTTTTATGTACAAATGAGCATATATTAAGAATATATGTCTAAGCTTGAGTAGGGCAAAATAGGCGGAATTGAGTTTGGAGCATACATGATCCACTTGAGTGTGCCATTGAAGTTGTTTGTCAAGATAAGTTCCTAGAAATTTTACAGCTTGTTCGGTTTCCTTGAGCTCAATTTTCGGTTTGGAGTTATAAAAATGTATGGTTACTGTTTTTGAGTTGTTGAGAATAAGCTTATTACTAAAACACCAGGAACTCATATGGTCACAAATTTCATCCAACTTCTTCATCGCTTCTTTTTCGTTATCATACGTATATCATAGGTATCTGCTAGAAATATGCGAGCTTTGCACTACCTAAGGAAGTTTTTCTCCGAAAATGCCTTTTTCTTATCTTATTTTAACAAATACCGAATTATTTATAGAAGGGTGGTACAGTTGGCAAAGAGAACTTATTACAGTCAGAGGCTGGTTGACTTGAAAAATGTTTCTAAAGAGACATGGACCATTGTTAACGAGTTAAGACAAGATACTAGTGATAACGTACGTTTCAATGCTGCTCTTTCTCCCAATGAGCTGAATGATTTTTACTGTTCTGTTGGTAATAATCTTTCGGCTAAGATAAATTCATCTGCCGATCCATTGAGATATGTTTCTGCAGGGTGCGTCACGGAAACGTTTTTCATGCACCCACCTGATTTCCAGGAATTAAAATTAGTTTTTCCTACGAGCGTGCGCAAAGTAGTACTTTTCCGCACGCATTTCGGTTCTCAAAGTTGCACTTTTCCGCACTCAGTGCGGATACAGGCCTTATCCGCACTGAGTGCCGAAAAGTAAAAATAATTGTCAAGCAACAATAAGTACACCTGTCGACTTTGACACATGATGACAAATTTTTCCTCTGTTCCTGTTCCAGCTAACATCTATACCTACAAACACCAAATTTAATTAACTTCAACACATTGTCAGATTTGTTTTCTATATATATGCATCTACAAACTTTCTCATCAAATTTATAGCATTTTCCATTTGTCGAAACAGGGCAAAAAAATGTATCCTTATCCTTACATGTTACATGCTTTTAGAAAAAGATGCGGATGCACTCAGTGCGGCACTGATGACAAATGGAAATCGCCATTAAACGCTTTAAGATGAAGAGCTCTGACGATGATTTTCTGTTATATTTTTTTTTTGTTATGTAATTTTTTGATAAATGCATAGGTTCCCTTCAAGTTAATTAAAAATAATTAAACAAATTATCGTTTTTTTTTTAAATTTTTGTTGTTACCTACCTGATATGAAGCTCGTAGGAAAAATTTTGTTCCTAACACGTGCGCAAAGTGTCTTTTCCGCACGCAAACACGTATCCGAACTCCGCTTCGCGTCGTTCGTATAACTGTGTTTGCGTGCGGAAAAGTAACACTTTGCGCACTTGTTAGGAAAATAACTATTTTCTAATGTGAAAAACAAGAATGCATCAGGATGGGATGACATGTCAACTAGGATTTTTAGTGAGTTGTCTCAAACTGCTCTTTTGTCCTTGGCTGACGCAATTAATCATTCCTTTGTGAATGGATACTTTTCAAGTTTTTTGAAGAAAGCAGTTATAATTCCATTGCATAAGGAAGGGGATGATGACACTCCTTCTAATTTTACACTTATTTCTCTTTTGCCTACCTTATCCAAAATAATTGAAAAACTGGTCAAAGGCAGAATCATGTCCTTTCTGTTGAGGTATAATATACTTAATGTCAATCAATTTGGTTTTCGGAGCGAGAAGTGCACAAATGATGTCATTTTTGCATTCCTGGAGCACTTGTATGTTGGTTTGAATGACGGGGCGTTCGCTGGGGCAGTTTTCTGTGACCTGACCAAAGCATTTGATTGTGTCTGTCACAGGATACTGCTGCAGAAACTTGAGTTGTATGGTGTCAGGGGTGTGTGTCTGGGTTGGTTTGAGTCCTATTTAGCGGAAAGGACTCAGATGGTTTCTTTTGCTGGGCAGAGGTCTGATCTCGGTAATTTGGTGTGTGGAGTGCCTCAGGGGTCGGTTTTTGGCCCGATTTTGTTTCTTTTGTATGTCAATGACTTACCTACCCTGGATATTAGTGGCAAATTTACACTATTTGCCAACGACACCACCATTCTTTGGCAAGGGACTGACTCAGAATCTCTAGATCAGCTAATTGGGACAGATTTAATAAAGATTAAAGACTGGTTTGAGAGTAATTTGTTAACCTTTAATATTAAAAAAACCAACCTTTTGACATTTAGATGTACCTTAAATGACATCCAGTTGGGGTCATTGACTATTAACAATCTGGAAAATGTTAGATTTCTGGGTGTTCATGTTGATAGGGCACTGACTTTTGCAGCGCACATTGAGAAACTTACTGCAAAATTGTCCTCTGGCTGTTATGCATTGAGATCTGTGGCAAGGGAACTAGACTTCTCTGCTAGCAGGATGGTTTATTTTGCTCTCATTGAGTCTCGCCTAAGGTATGGGATTCCTTTTTGGGATAGTTGCAGTGACTATTTGTTTAACTCGGTGTTTGTTTTGCAGAAGAGAGCCATGCGTTTTATGTTTGGAATTAGAGGAAGAGATTCTTGTAGGCCATTTTTTGTGGAAAAGGGTATAATGACTCTTCCATGTCTGTATATTGCAGAGAGTGTATACTTGGTCTTTAGGAAGTACAAGCATACTATTGTTGAAGGTCCCTATGATACTCGACAAACTTACAACATCCCTCTGCCAATTCCAAGAACAAGCCAAATAAGAAAATCATTTATTTACAATGCCAAGAAAATGTTTAATCATCTTCCTGTTGATATAAGACGTATCCAGTATGCTCCTAAATTTAAAGCGGAGACTAAGCGTTTACTTGTACGGAAGGCTTATTATGCTATCACTGAGTACTTTGAGGATCGGTTGTGAACTAATTAGTTATAAGTTGATATTTTTGACGTTTTAACATACCTTATGCAGGTTTTATTAATTTTTAATTTTTGATAATTTTTAATTTTTATTTTTGTTACAGTTAGTGCTAGATGTACGTATGTATGTATGTGTGTATGTATATTTATATATTGTTGATTTATGTACATAGGTACTTGAGTCTTATTTTATTATTGTATTACTGTGTTGTGTTAATTTTATTATTGTAATTCTTAATTTTTAAATATTTTAGGGTAGCTTTGTCAATGAATACTGTATTTTGGACAATAAAGCATGTTTTGATTTTGATTTTATCAGCCGATATAGCTGCAGTTGTATCATCCGCAAACTTAATTGTAAGGCCAGGTAGTTTTAGGTGGCGCCAGCACTGAGCCCTGGGGTGCTCCAATATTAACAGAGTGAGTGTCAGACAGATCTTCTCCCAGTCTCACCTGTATTTTTCGCTCTGATAGGAAGGACATTATTAAAGAGAGTGCTTTACCTCGAATTCCAATGGATTCCAATTTTAACCTGACAAAAGCTAAGTCGAGAGAGTCAAATGCTCTGGACAGGTCAAAAAACAATCCAATTACGATTCTGTTTTGTTCCAGTTGCGCGTGGATGTACTCAATAAACTTGTACGCAGCAGTTTCCGTCGATCTTCCAGATCTAAATCCATGTTGTGATGCATCCAAGATTTCAAATCTTTCTAAGAAGTGGGTTATTCTACTGTGTAAGTACCTTTTCAAATATTTTTGAAAATACGGATAATATGGATATCGGTCGATAGTTTTCGATATCCGTTGACAGGCCTTTTTTGAAAACAGGAACTACGGTAGCTAGTTTTAAGCTGGATGGAAATACTCCCTCAGAGATTGATTTATTCACTAGTACTTCTAAGGGGTGAGACAACTCAGGACAGACCCTCTTTACCACACTGGTATTTATTCCATCAGGGCCACAACTTGTTTTGTTTTTGAGACCTATGATGATGTCGGCAATTTCTGTTGAAGTCACTGGATGGAGGAATATGGTGTTTTCGACCAGATGCGAGGTGGTTGGAAGATTCGAAACAGTGGCACCGAAATGGCTTGATATTTTTATATTCGCAACATTCGAAAAAAATCTACCAAAGTGGTTTGAGATTTCTTTATCATTTTTGATTAGGGTACCATCGATTTTGAGGTCGATTTTTTTGGAATGCTTAACTCTGCCCAACTCATCATTTACAATGTTCCATATTTCTTTTGTTTTGTTAGATGACTCTATAATCTTTTGCTCACTAAAATTTATTTTCGCCCGTCTAATATTTTGCCTATACTTTTTTCTCTCTTTATTGTAGTCTTCCTGACCTGCCCTAGAGTTCGTTTCCCTTGTTAGATTATAAAGTTGCTTTAACTCTTGCTTTTGATTCTTTAGTTCTTCAGTGATCCAGTGTGTTTTTTTTGTCTTTTTTATTATTTATATTAATTCTTTTTACGGAGCATGTGGTATCGTAATGCCATTGGAGTGTTTGTAGAAAATTATCAAATGCAGTTTCCAGTTCTGGCATATGAATATTTTCCCAGGTTTCCAGTTTCAGGTTGTTTTTGAACCTGTTCAAATTGTCATGGGATTTTATTCTGATATTTTTAAATATTTCGTTTGCAATCTTTGCTGATAGATTAACTTCAAGTCGCTGTAGAAGATGGTCTGATATGTGGGCTTGAGATGACTCGCAAGCTAGAATATTCATTGGAAAGTTCGTTGCCATGTAGTCGATTGGTATAGATAATCCGTTTTGTGCAGGAAATATTCATGTTGGACCTAGACAATGGTTGGTGAGTTGATGTGAGTCGAACATATCTTGCAATATCTTGTATTTTGGATCCTCTTTTTTCATGCTATTTATATTTAAGTCGCCGCAAAGTATAATGTAGTCGAATTTTTTTGCCATTTCTGACAGTATTGCAGTCATTTGACGAATGAAGATATCCAACTTACCATTTGGTGGTCTATACGCTGCTATTATGGCAGTGGGTGTCGCTCTGATTTTTGTTTGAATAGCACAGCATTCAACCTCCATTTCGATGCTATAATTTTTAATCTCTGGGATAGGTTTTCCCTTTAGCGAGTCTTTGGCGTAGATCGCTGTTCCCCCATGTCTATGTACCTTCCTGCAATAGTAGGATAGTAGATTGTATCCCCTGAGAACCAAGTTCACGGCTCCTTCGGCTGACCATGTTTCTGTTATACATAAAAAATCCGTTTTCTGCTCTATTGTTGTTAATTCAAACAGGTTGAGCTTGTTGCTTAAGTTTTGGGCGTTTATGTGGTTTATTACGATTGTATCTGTTTTTATTTGTTTAGGTTTTGGTTTTGGCAATGGCGTAGTTCTGGGTGGGATAAAAAATGTGACTGGTTTTGGTTCGGTGCTGTACCATCTGTAGGTTGATTGCGGACTGCTTGTCGAGGTCTTAACCATGTTTGTCTTTGTTTCTCTTGCTGGTTTACTGTTTCCTTGGGGTGAGGATGCTCCTCGCTCTGTGTGGATGTTGTCGTTGTATTTATGTAGTGCTTGTAGATATAATTAATTAGTAGCCACTTGCCACGATAGTCCAATTCGCCATTGTTATCGACGTTAAATGATTTAATCACCCTGTTGATGTCGATATAGGTAGCATTTCTCGTTTTTATGCAGTTTTGTATATCTTGATTCTGTTTGTTTATAAACCCATTTAGAATTGGCCTATCTGGCACATAAGGTGCACCAATAAATATGAGGTTTGTACAATCTTGTCTAGCCAAGTAAACACAAAAACTGTCACAATAATCTGCAAAAACTCAATAGAAATTTACAAAAACCCAGGTTTTTGCCAACCCTGTACCAACATGAACAACCCAGTTGGTTTTTTTTTTTCTCCAAGAATGTGGTTGAGCCTCAGTCGTATGTAATTTGAAGAGCATGAAGAAATTTGATCAGGTTGAAATGTATACTTTTGGCTTGAATATTATGACTTCGTATTTGAAATACAAGAATTCTATTTTTTTTAATGTTTGAATTCAAGAGGAGAAACAACAACTTTTTTTTCAAGTTTTGTTATTTGTACTGAAATGGTTAATTGGAGGATAAGAAAGAGCCTTTTACTGGAATTAAGAGAAAGATAAGAATTTTTAAGGAAAGAAGAAGAAACAAGACAGGATTGTTTTTCACCTTATTTTGACTCGAAGGCCAATTCCCTAGATTAAAATCCTTACATTAAACTTGTTAATGCAAAATTGTTTTGTTGCTATGCACTTAAGCAAATATTATTATATCATACAATTATTGACTCTCAATTGCGGTCGGTGACTCATTTATTTTCCAATTAAAATACTCAATTTTAATTACTTACCGATAAGTACAACGGTTCCTACAGGTATTCCATCTCCTGCAAAATAATTTTTTTTCAAATTAATTTAAAGAGTTAAAGACCTCCAATGAGAACAAAGAAAAAAAAAATCGAATTTATAACCTAAAAAAAAAAAGTTTACCTAAAAGGGGGTCCAGGGACAGCAACCCGGAAGAAACCAGCAAAAGACCGTTCTGGCTGCTCAGCACCGAGCCCGGAATCGAGTTGCCCTTTTTCTTTTCCATTTAAAAGCAAATATAAATTAATTTTTGATTTTTAGCAGCAACGGATTTCACTTTTTCGATTTCACAATTTTATGATTTTACTTTTTGGTTGTGGTGGGGGAAGGTTCACAGCTGATGACAATTCAGATGATGCAGGAATCTGTAATTATCGCAAATTCTATATTATTAAATAATGTAATTTATAAAGCAAAAACATTATAAATAATTAATTATTATTCAAATAAAAAGCAAAATAAACATATATTAAGCAATATTGTTTATCGTATATGTAAAAACATTATATACTTACCGTGGCGCCATCTATTAACAAAAAAACTAAAACTGACATAGCCGCCTAATATGAATTCAATTAATTCAAAAATCATCTGATCTAAATAAACAAAAATAATATATTCAAAGCCATACTGATAAGCAAAATTATCGTTTTATTTGTTCCACGACCTTCTGTGACCCTTTTTTGATAGTATAAATCCACATGGAAGACAATAAAATGCAATTCGCAGGGAAAGTTGTACTAATTACAGGGGCTAGTTCTGGTATTGGGGCTGCTACAGCTCAGTATTTGGCGAAATTAGGGGCTAGTCTTGCTTTAGCAGGTACGTAGGATCTTCATTACTTATATTAATTTGAAAAATTTAACAAATTTCAAGCTAATAGATTAAACTCCTAAGGCACACGGCTTATGCATCTTCAGATAAACTTGGTACTCTACTGGTAACTATCTGCAAGATAAATATTTGTCTTTCTTTATTTCTATTGGTCAGCAGATAACTGTTCGACAAATAAGATTACAGATTGCATACCTACTTTGATACCTATGTAGATACCTACCCTACCTGATAGTTTATTAGAATGTGAATAAACCAGTCCTTATTTCCTTATTTAATATATATATATATATATACAGGGTGTCCCACGGTGGATGGCGTATTAGACGTTTATGGAGAACTAAAAAGCGGATCATTTTGAAAATTTGGCAACCGGGATAAACGACCATGATCTAAGGCGTTTTCTCGCTGGGCGAATGGTTCGAACTACGGTTTAAACCAATTTGTAGATGACGTCACTATTTGTGAATGCGAGAAAATGGAAGGTTTGAACCACAGTCTTATGTCAACGGAGAACACGCCTACACTTTAAAAATATTTTTGACCATGCGATGTTGCCGCTTCTACTCTAAACTAGTGGCAAAGTCACTATTTTAAATGGAACACCCCGTATTAAATTGCATATTTGGATTCTATGTAAAATTCTAAGCAGATTTCATGTGATATACCCTATACCTAAGTTCAACTGTTTTGGAAATATTGACAGTTGAAAATTGACTTTTTGCAACTTTGACAGGCTGTAGAACCTGAACGGTTAATTTTAGAGGAAAACCGATTTTACATTCCTATCTTAGATTTTTATAAACTATCATTTGACACCAACTTAGAATTAAATCCATGATTAAAAATTTCAGTTAAATTTAATCTCTGGTTAAGTTCAAAGTTGGTGTTAAATGATAGTTTATAAAAATCTAAGATAGGAATGTGAAATCGGTTTTCCTCTAAAATTAACCTATTAGGTTTTACAGCCTGTCAAAGTTGCAAAAAGTCAATTTTCAACTGTCAATATTTCCAAAACAGTTGAACTTAGGTATAGGGTATATCACATGAAATCTGCTCAGAATTTTACGTAGAATCCAAATATGCAATTAAATACGGGGTGTTCCATTTAAAATAGTGATGTTGCTACTAGTTTAGAGTAGAAGCGGCAACACCGCATGGTCAAAAATAGTTTTAAAGTGTAGATCATGGTCGTTTATCCCGGTTGCCAAATTTTCAAAATGATTCGCTTTTTAGTTCTCCATAAACGTCAAATACGCCATCCACCGTGGGACACGTACCCTGTATAAAAATCAAAGTTCACGGGGTATCCGGATATGCGCTCCAAAACCACTTATCCGATTACGATGAAACTTTGGTAGGTTGTTATGGCCATCCCAAGGAAGGTTTGTGGATAGGTTACGCATCTCGGAAAAAGAAATTAATTTTGAATTAATTAATAATTTAATTGTAAACAAATTGATTCACATTACATAACAACATAACCCAACTTTTTTTGACAGCATGAAACAACGTTGCCATATTTCATTTATTTAGGCTTGCATTCAACCGACGTAACTTTATTATTTTTTTTTGTTGATGAGGGTGCACTGATCCAGCTTGAATCGAACACAGTGTGGTTCACTTAAATTGAACCAGATCGATCTAATCCGGTCAATCGAATCGGCTATAGAGGAGAGTGATATAGGCTATTTTTTATCCCGAAAAAAAAAGTTCGGTTGCGTAAAACTCTGATACACTAGAACGCCTATAAACAGTTCGGGCGCTCTAGAGCAGCTCTGGAGTGCTTAAAATGCGTCACTGAACTCACTGGCAAGCGACTATGATATCGGATTTAAAATAAAAAATTAAATAGAAAATCCAGGGATATTCCAAGGTGCACAATTGTGCATATTATGCACAATTTGATCTCAATATGCACCGTATGCACAATCTTCATAAAATATGCACAATTTTCACAATCCATCCAAAGCAAAATTATTTTCCTTCAGCAAACCTTTGGCAGGTGGTTACTGACATCTGCTATTTTGAAAGCTAAGCTAAAAGCTGTTTTCTCGAGTTACTGGTTCAAAACAGGTTTGAAATAGTATATTCTCGCAATGGTTACCCGTGACGTCACAATAAAATTGGTTCAAACCGTGTCGAAATACAATCCAATTCAAGTTTTCAAACCATTTTCTCGCGCCAATAGGTTATGACGTCATGTGATACTGTTTTAAACCAGTTTTGAAAAATGTTTCAAAATATTTGACACGCGAGAGAAAGCACCTCTAGACTTGTAACTGGGAAAAGAGAGTGAAATGAGCCACATAATGGCGGGTTACTTTCATTGTCATCGTCATCACTGTTGGTAAAAAGAGCTTCGTTCCAACCAGGCATGAGAACCATTCTAGAACGGTAATTTCTAGTCGATCAATTTATTTGTTATTTAGGATAAACGTTCAACTTTTTGAAAAATAGGTGGGCAACTGGAAATTACTGGTCCTGGAACGATTCTCATGCCTGTTGGAATAGAGAGCTATGATTTATCGCGAGTCACTAGTCACTGTAATTTTTATTTTATTTCGTCGCCATCTATAAATATCAATTTTTCGACAACTTGTAAGACGTTCTCAATGACATTGGATGCTCTACGTTCTACCCCTGCTTTCTGTCACCCGTCATTTACGTCATTTTTATGCATGTGCACAATCTTAAACGAATATGCACAATTTTCCATTGGTTAAATGCACACTTGAAAATTTTCTTGGAACAACCCTGAGAAAATCAACAACAAAATTTAAAAAGAAGTGTATTATTATTTCAAAATGTATTTACATGCTGGCAACGCAGCGGGTCATTAGCTAGTGTAAAATAAAACACTTCTTTGTTTTTGTAAAAGGGTTTAAAATTCAATTACTGAATATTCCTGGATTTTCATTGGTTAATGAATTCAAATCTTGAATATTCCCGGATCTTGATTGGCTAGTTTTGGTTGGCGCTAAAAATCGAATTTTGAATATCTCATCCGACTAGCTTGAAATTGCAATGTTTTAATCTTCCCATGTTAATTATTGACTTTAAAATCCAATTCCCGCCTCTTGTTTGACTCTAAAAATCAATTTTTGAATATTCCTGGCTCTTGATTGGCTTCAAAATTCAATTTTTGAATATTCCCGGATCTTGATTGGCTATTGAATTCAAATTTTGAATACTCCCGGCTCTTGATTGGGTTGTTTTGGCGCCAAACATTGAATTTTGTCTCACAACTTTGTTAATTTCAGTCCGATCTTAACACAAGTAGGCCTAAATATTGAAGCTAATTAAATCCTCTACTAATCAATGCAGGTTCCATTTGCAAAATATCAATCCAATTCTTTCCCATAAAAAAAAAAAAAAAAAAAACTTTCCTCAATGACATTAAAGGAGAAAGCTCCTAGAGCCTGACATAGAAATTTATTTGTAATATACAAAAAATACCATTAGGAAACTTGTTAGCAACAATTAACCCACATCGCGATCCATTTCCAGGTAGAAATAAACAAAACTTGGAAAAAGTAGCGGCAGAATGTGCGAAATCGCAAAACAATGCCCCCCTATTGCTGACAGCAGAGCTGAGCGATGAACAACAAACAAAAACTCTTCTAGACGACACAATCAAGCATTTCGGCAAATTAGACGTTCTAGTCAATAACGCCGGCATACTGGAAACAGGCTCAGTAGAAACAACAGATTTAGCCCAATACGACCGAGTAATGAACATCAACGTACGCTCGATTTATCAATTAACCAACTTGGCAGTACCTCATCTGATTGCCACTAAAGGAAATATTGTCAATGTGAGCAGCGTTAATGGAATCAGGGCTTTTCCTGGTGTATTTGCTTATTGTATTTCCAAAGCAGCGGTAGATCAATTAACAAGGTAATTAAATCAATTTTACCGCACTATTGTGACGTAAATACCCCTTCTAGCCAATGAAAAACTCGAATTCTGTCGCCATTGGCTGCGTTGCCAAATTAATTGTAAATAAAATAAATATTTTTTTCTAGTACCCTAGTACTTTTAAAATTATATGGGCTAGAATTTTCACAATATCCTCTAAAGATATAGGTTTTTTATGTCATATTTAGGATGACGTCATCGAATAAGGAAAGTTTATTTGAATAAATAAACAATAAGATTATTTATATATAATAACATACTGCTACTACTGGCAACGCTGCTGCTTGGCACTCTTTTTCATTGGTTTTTGATCTACCAATCAGAAATTCCATTAATAACAATACTCAGGGTTGCCACATTTTGTCTTGATTCTCTGAGAATTGTATCAATAACTTCAAACTAAAAGAACTATTTTTTAGATGTGCTGCATTAGATTTAGCTCCTAAACAAGTCAGAGTTAATGCAGTCAATCCCGGAGTGACTGTTACAAATTTACACAAAAGAGGTGGCATGAATCAAGAACAATATGAGGTCTTTATAAAAAGGTCACAAGAGACTCACGCATTAGGCAGGCCTGGAACTGCAGAAGAAGTTGCTAGGACTATAGCTTTTTTGGCTAGCGACAGTGCTAGTTTTATTACTGGAGCTACTTTACCAGTGGATGGTGGACGACATGCCATGTGTCCAAGATAAAAATACTATATATTTTAATTTTTATAAGATTATTTTACTGATAATAAACAAACTATACACAATAACAAATTACTATTCATCAAGCTCTAGGGTCTCAGGAATACCCAATTCCTCATCGGTCCATTTCCTGGAGTCTGGCCAAGCAAATTCACCCTAAAATAAAACTTTTATATTTATTTTGACCTGGAAAAAATTCTTACAAGGATGTGGTCTGGTTCAGTCCACAAGTGCCACAAAATCCACCACCACATCACTCCCTGAGTGAAATCGGCAATCATGAATAACGTTTTTGTCGGTGGGGCTGTGCCCTTTCTATAGGCCCAACTAAAAAATAATTTCGATTTGAAAATTGGGTAATTACATAACGTAAACATTAACTTACGCTGTGTGTCCGTGTCTGACGGTTTGCTGCAATTGCCCCTTATTTTTGGATAAGCACCTGAGGGCTCTTAGGGCTGTGGCGCCCCTTGATAGCAACATTTTAAAAATTATTCTATTTTTTGATTTTCAGAATTTTCTAACCTAAAATTTATGAAAGACTGGGACTGAGAGTAGAGTAGTAGAGTAATCAAATTATTGCTAGTGGCAAACTGGTTCAGAGTATATAGAACAGTTACAAGGATTCAGAACCGATTCGGAACTATTCGCATTTGTTCGCAGTGCAACTACAATTGATTCCGAATCGAGTCTCTGAAGTAATCTTACCGGTTCTAGAACGAGATTTCGAGACTTGGACTCCGAGCTCACGATTCGATAACTATCGTTTATCATCAGAGCTGCTTTCGGGTGCCACCTTTTGAGCGCTCCCGAGTTACTCCGAATTACTCCAGCTGCAGTTTGACCCGTTCGGTATCAAACATTCAAGTGCAAAACGCATGGAGTATGACAGATGTGAAGTGTTCTAGGAACTTACCATTCTGCACCCGAAAGCGGCTCTGGTACCTACTTTTGCTTCAGTTTATTTGGCTTGACACGTTGCACTGCCTGTGGCTGCGTTTGGGTTGACACTCGGCTGCGTATTTAAGCTGTAGTATTAGAGAGTTCTCGTGCCGTCCAAATTCCAAACACCGTAACGCTATTTGACAAGTATGACAGTTATTACGGTATTAGCGTTAGCGGAGACGTAACGGGACTTAGCGGATGCCTTACCGTAACGCTATGTTATGTCAAAACTAATTTACGCTCCATTTATGTCTGCAAAAATCGCAACTTCTAATAATTTCTCAATAAAAAACACCAAGGTAAAATTAATCAAGCTCAGGAATCTTCAGGATAAATGAAAATTAGAAAACAAGCAAAAAAAGTTGGGTTAGGTTACTCAAATCAGCCGACAAAATGTAAACAGAAATAAGGGATTAGAGGATTTATGTGTCTTGAGGCGTTTTCTCGCGGGGCGAATGGTTCGAACTACGGTTTAAACCAATTTCACGATGACGTCATCACTTGTGACCGCGAGAAAATGAAAGGTTTGAACCACAGTTTTATGTCAACGGAGAACAAGCCATGAGGCGGTTCGAACTTTTATGAACCAGGTTCAATGTGACGTCACTGGTTCAACGCAAGAATGTACAGGTTCGAACCTAATTGAACCGGGTCGAACCAGTTCCACCGCGAGAAAACAGCTTTGGTGTCCGAGAACTATAAAATACCATGCAAAATACCGTATTGTTAGCGGTACCGTATTAGCGTAGCGTCTGAGGCACGAGAACTTTCTATTTTCTTCTGATTTCAAACTAAACTTAAACTGGTTCGGAGTGTTCTAAAACCGTTCAGAACAGTTATTTAGGTTTTAGTTGCTACTAATAACAACTCCAGAGTGTTCGAACTACTCTATTATGCTACTAATCAATGAATTTATGTTATTATTATAAGAAGTATTCCTTTCAAGAGTTTGAAACACTAGAGCTACTTGCTCCGGTGTTAGTCGACTCCGATTTGGAAGGAACCGATCGTAGGTGTGAAAGGAATACACAGAATGTTAGCAATTCAAGCCTTTTCTATATTAAAAATTTGAAAGCATTGACAATTTTACATTGTATTGCCAACATATTAATGTCATTTTGACTTTTATCTTAAAAAAAAAGTGCACTCTAAGTACTCCGTAGCACTCTAGAGCGTTTTGATATACGGCAAATAGAGTAACTTTGTATGCGCACAGGTGAAAATGGAGCTCACACCAAAAGTGCTCATTAATAACAATAAAAAAACACATTTATAATAATTAATATAAAATTTATTTAGGGAAAAAATTGGAAAATCAGCTTTTATAGCATTTTTTTTCTCCAAAACTTTCGAGTTATTTGGATGGTGGTACACTTGCTCTTTTTACTCTAGAACAGGAGCGACACATCAAACTGCCCCTAATTTCAAGAGCTAGTACAACTCGAAGCTCGAAGTTGATTTCAGTTGAATTGGGAACATTCAAAATTCGATTTTCAGCGCCAAAACAGCTAATCCAGAGCCGGGAATATTCAAAATTTGAATTCAATAGTGAATAAGTTTCGAGAATTTTCGAAAATTGATGATTTGGAATGGATTCAAATTTTGCAAGTAGATCACAAGTAGATCAAGTAAAGATTTGGAGAATAAAAAATTATGACTGCTGTTTTTGTAGAGGCACCTGCTATTAAAATTTAATGAGGCTTCTTACCGTCAATAGACTAAGTGGAGTAAAGTAAAAGGAGCTTACTCCACAAGCTCCATCACGGTAAAGGGAATTTAGAGTAAATAGTGTCATAGTGAAAGTGGCCCTTTGTCAATTGTACTCTACTTGTACTAATTAACAGTTCTATTCCTTTCACACCATTTCACACCTAAACAGAGGAGCTCCGGAATTTCGAAAAGTGTTTGTTGCACGAAGTGCTTAAGCCCGAACTCAAACCATTTACCAACCAAACCAGCGCATCTGTTCCTGTAGCATATGTTTGAGTATTGTGAACTCTACTTCAGGTCAGGGACCCGGACCGGAACGATATTGGACCGAAAACCGGAACGAAACCCATATACTATAGAAATGTTGTAGGACAGGCAGAACCGGAACCGATATAAATTAATCGGTTCTTACCGGTATTTTTCGGTTCCAAGATTTTATAAATGCTGTTTGCTGTTTGGTTCTATCATTATTAAAATTAACACTTTAAAAAACAGAGCGTTGGACATTGGACAGTGCGCATTTCTGAATTCGGCTAGGCTACACGGCTACACCAACACCAAGGATTTTACATACTACTACAGGATTGTGTGGAGTCTAATTCATAATGGTGTTGCACTGTTGCTGACGTCATCAACGGTCTCGTTAGCGGTTCGCGTTCGTAGTTAAGAATATACATGTATGATGAAAAATATAAATTAAATTTGATTAACATAATAGTCAATAGACAAGAGAAAGATGCAAATGAGATCTAAACAAGGGTTGTTTTAGAAAATAATGTACTAATGGTTCTAAACCGTTTCGAAATACAATCCAATCCACATTTTAAAACCATTTCCTCGTGACGAGAAATTATGACGTCATTGTGAAACTGATTTAAACCAGTTTTGGAAAATGTTTCAAAACTTTGAGATGCGAGGAAACACCTCCTAAAGCCTAGTACTCATAACTGCGAAATTCTCACTTTTTTGACAATTTGACGTTTTATGCGTGTATCAAACGTCAAATTGTCGGAGCAATGTCAAAAAAAGCGAATTTCGCAGTTATGAGTACTAGGCTTAATCCGTGGTGCAACTGGTGCAAGCACTACGTCAAGGCGAGAAACGACACGCTGTTACGTCATCACTGATCGAAAACACAAAAATTTATTTTTTAATAGTAATTATTATGATTATTGAAGTTGCTGCAGATAGGTAGAGAAATCCAAAAAAAAAAACCACAAATTATAGAAACATAAATTTTTCTGTAATGACCGTTTTAAGGGATGCTCCTTGAAATGGTCAGTGCAAATGGCCTTTAGATATTTGTGAAAAACTATACCGGTATGAACCGTTAAAACCGAAATTATTGGTCCGAACCGAATCGAAATATTTCTCTTAGAACCGAAACCGTAACGGAACCGATATTCGTCATGACACTAGCTTTGTTTTGGTTCGAAATTTGGGAACGGTTCTGGAATTGCGCAGAACTGCTTGTGCACAAAAAATAATAGAGGACTGTTCTAATACTAGTTCTGAACCGATTCGGAACAAAAAAACCAAAACACGCCGCAAATCACAAAATTCTAAAACAGTTCCTCCTGCAGAGCAAGTACTGAAAGAACCGTTCTAGAACAATCCCAGAATTGTTCCTAAATAGTTCTGGATAAACCAAAACACTGTCAACACAGTTCGATTACGATTCTGAAAAAACGAAAACGCGTTTTATAAAATGCGCATGTGCAGAATGATTCCGAACTAGTTCTGAGTGAAACCAAAACAAAGCTAGTGAGGAACTGTTTTGGAATTTTGTGATTGGTGGCTTGTTTTGGTTTCTTTCTTCAAAGCTGCTGTGGACCGGAACCGGAACGGAACCGATATTTCATTTCGGTCCGGGTCCCTGCTTCAGGTAATCCATTTGTTTGTTTGTGTTGTTCGGGGCAGCACTTCCTGCTTTAAGGCGTTCGTTTGTGAGTGTTTTATATGGTTTTATTTGCCATAATCTGAAATATTACAGCTTAATTCAAGTTAGTGCGATACCTCATTTCAGGTGGGTTCGGCTTGCTCACTCCGTGCACTCCGAGTGACTCCATTCGCATCGCACTCCAGCCGTTCGGGTATTGCTTTTTACCGTATTAGGGGTAACTGCATTAACTCTGTTCACTCCACTCTAACTCCGCGCTGTATAGCCGAACCCAGCTCAAATCTCGTGAATTTCAACTCTTGGAGTAAACTCTTTTCACTCTGATACCCTCAAGCAAACAATCTTACTCCGAATACAAAACCCGAACCACTTGAGAAAAAAGGGTAAGAAAAAAGTGTACGATTCCGAACTAAGATCGTGCGATGTACGATTAGGTTATGTTTTTTTTGTTTACATGTTCTTTTTAAATAATTTTTCTTTAATTTATCCGAACAATAATGAGTTAAATATCAAATAAAATAATTCACAAAAAACATAAAATGTCCGAGACACAAGCGCTACAAGAAGAAGAACGCGAAGTGCTGTCTTCAATTTACGAAGGCGACGAATGTTTTAAGCAAATCGATTCTAAAACTTTTCAATACAAGGTAATACATTATTTCTATTAATTTAATAATAGATTCTTAGGCTCGGTTTTATCATGTTCGGGTTAACTTGCTGGCAACTATCTGCAAGATAATTTCACTGTTTTATGCTGACGTCACAAACATAACCAAACTTTCGATGGGGAGACAAACAAGGCGTTTAAGGGCTATTTACACACACATCAGTTAGGTAGCTATAACGTCGCAAATTACATAAGCTCACTTTTGATACGAGGACAAACAAACAATATTTACATTATATTTGTCCCCCTATCGAAAGTGACGGTAATTCATTATGTGATATGTGACGTAATAGGGAACACTTGTGTGTATAAATAATGGTCCGTAAAACGTTTTGTTCGTCCCCCCATCACAAGTGAGGTTACGTACTTGAGGTCAACTAGCGCCTAATTCTATTGGTCGACAGATAACTGGCTCACCAATGAGATTACAGATTGCGTTTTTATCTGCCAGATTGCATCTTGACAGTTTATCAGAAAATGAATAAATCTGCCATTATCATGTTCATATATGAGGTCCGTTCTCACAGAAATCACAAGAGCGGTTTTGATTAGTGCAAATCGCCTGATGTGTTTGTGATTTCTGTGAGAACACTTGCTGGTAACTATCTGCAAGATAAATTTACCATTCTATAATTCTATTGGTCAATGGAGAACTGGCCAACCAATGAGATTACAGATTGTGTTTTTATCCGTTGATTGTATGCCTAACAGTAGGTGAATAAACCAGCCGTCAAAATATTCTTACATGTTTCACCAAGCTTATATTTTTTCTAGTATGGTATAAGTGAAACCCCAAAAACTTTCCTACTAGAACTAAAATGGGGCGAATCCTATCCAGAACAATCACCTGAAATAAGCATGGACGTGTTTTACAACAAACACATTCATACATCATTAAAAACCAAAATATGTGATCTTGTTAGAACCGAATCCGAACAATATTTGGGCATGTCCATGACTTATTCATTGTTCGAGTTTGTGAAGGAAAAATTTGAAGAGCTAATCGAAGAACAACCTGAAAATGTTGAAATGGATAAATTGCGTATAACCGAGGATAATCAGGACAATGAGGAAGTTGCTCAGGTTAAAAAGGAAAAAAAGGAACAGTTGACTAAGGCGCAGAAAAGACGACAATGGAATAAGTAATAATTGACTCTAGATTATTGAATTTTTTTCTATTTACGTATTTCTTCAGGTTGGATTCGAAAGGTGAAAAACCTAGAGGCTGGAATTGGATTGATATTGTTAAACATTTATCACAGACTGGTTCTAAAGAGGATAATCTAGTGACTTCATGATTATGTTTATTTGTATATATAATAAAATAATTTTTATGCAAAAGATTCAAATTGTTTTACTTCCTAAAGAAAAATGCAGAGAAATCTTTTCCTCTAAAAGAAACAATCAATTTTTGATTAAAATACTTATACCAAATAAATGTTGCGGTCAAAGTCGAAAAGAAAGTAAATTAAGTTTTTTCAAATTTCATTCACGCTCAATTTATTGTATATACCGCAAACTTTTTCACTTTATCTTCTTATAAAAGAAAGTGATTGAAATTGTTTCAATCTCATTCGATAGTTGTTGTTTACCCTAAATAGTTCTATAATGATTTTACATGTAAGTAATTCAGTTTTTGAGTACCTATCATAAGATAATTTTTTTTTTGTAATATTTCCAGAACACAATTATTTTCAATTTTCTTTTCCTACTACCTTTACTCTCTGAAGCCAACAACTCTAGAAATCTCACTACTCATCATGGAAACAAATCTAAACGGTTTCTTGCCAATCAAGTGGGTGAAGCCAAAGCGGTACTATTTTACATGGAAAATCCTCAACAAAACGAAGAAGCTCCAGAATTGCAAACCGCAGCCAGTTCCATTAGAAATCTTTATCCAACCCCTGGAAAACCTTTGGCGGTTGTCAGTGTTCAACAACCAATACAGGTACAACTTATTAATTTCCAATTATTGTAATTTGTAAGTTATAATTAAAGGTTTTTGAACAAGACACTCACCCAAAACAAGTAGCAGAACAACAAGTTTTGTACGAGTTTCAACAAACTCCCAACAATGCTGTTTCAAATGTACAAGTGAAACAACTGTTTCAACCTGATGGGCCAACTTATGGCGAACAACTACCTACAGCGCAAGCGTTTACTTCAATTCAACCAGCGTTGTTTAATAATCAAGCTTATGTGAGGTCCCAGCAGCAGCCTCAAGGATCCAGTCATCATCCAGCTACATCAGCTACGGTAAGGATTTCAAATTACTGGACTTTATTAGTTGATTTCATTTCATACTAAAGTCCTAATTTTCTACATGTACTTACAATTTTTCCTTACTTTCACTAAAATGAATGTACCCTCTATTTTTCTGGATCTTTACAAAGTGATTAACTAATTGACTGTTTATTGTAGATCATTTCACCAGTCCACCAGAACCTCTACACTTCCAATCAAAATCCAACATCGTTTACCTACAACAATCCTTTTAACAATGACTACTCTACAAATAAACAACAACAACAACAACGTCAACAGCAGCAACAATCTCCAGGAAAGTACATCTATTTGAACGGCAAAATCGTCTACAATCCAGCCCACCACATAATCCAGCAAGGCAAAATTCTACCACCCAATAGCATTTACAACAAGGGAGTTTATCATAATCAACAAAAATTGCCTTTGATTAATAATAATAATTTCGGTGGACAATTGCAACAACAGCAACAAAGACCCAGGGAGCATGTGGCAGCTCAAACCCAACAAGGCAACAAGAATAATAATTATTTACCACCAATTACTAAAAATAACAGGTTTGTTTCAAGAATGCAACAGAATTCTTTAATTAAACTATGTATTTTTTTAATAGATTTCAACCACCAAAACATCTTCAACAAATCAATAAACCATCTACTGCACCTATTTACCAACAACAAGAAGAAGAAAATGAAGATGACGAAGAACTAAATAATGAAGAAAGTGAAGATGATTATGACAAACAAAACGATGCCGAAGATGAAGATGACGATGCTCACGATGACGACAGCTACGGTTACGAAACATTTCAATTTGAAGATGAATACCTTGAAAACGACGACGCACATTTCTTGAAATCCAAAGCCAAAAGGCTTAGAGACGAAGATGAATCGGAATACGACGACGAACGCCCTACAAGAAAACACCCCAAAAACCACAGCAGACGTTACAGGAATCAGCCAAACGACAATTACGGTTACTACGAAGGCTATAGAACAAATATGAAGTACAAAAGCCCCAAAACTAAAGACAATAAACCGATTGGGAAATATAAAAAAGTCAAATTTAGTAGAGTCAAAGGAGGGAAGCCTAAAGTTGAAACGATTGAGGGGAGGTTTTCGGAACAAGTGCCAGTGACGCACAGGCAAAAATTGTACAAGGAACGCTGGTATGTGACTCAAGATTTGGATGGCAAAAATAAAACGTAAAAATGCCAAAGATATTTGAATTGAATGCCATCTATTATAGTTTGTTGCAATATTGGACTGAAATTTGACCACTGAGAATCTTTTTTTTCTTCTAGGAATAATAATTGTGTTTATGTTTTTGTTATATTTTTGTAAAATAAATATTGAATTTCTTAATATGATGCATGATGGGCACCTGTCACTGGGCACCAAGCGGAACCTATTTGCGACTTTACTACGTCTGAATATCGGCTTTAGCCAATAAGATAGTGTTATCAGTCTTGTGATTTTTTATTCTCGGCACGTGAAAGTTGCCCTGTAACGACTTGAAGGCTTTCTATCTCTAATAGAGAAAAAAATCATGATTTTTTACAAAAATCTAAATCATAAGGTAGGTAGGTACCTTCTTACTAAAACGATGAAATTTCAATTTTTTTTTTGTCGAGATTTTGTATCCTAATGGTCAATCAACATACCCCAAACTCCATACACTAAATTATTCTCAGATTTGAAGCCGAAATCTATGAAAAAAGGCACTCAGAAATATTGAAAAATCACCCCAAATTGCTTAACACGATTTTATCTCAGGAACTATCAGTGCGAATGAGCTTTTCAGAGATTGTAGTCCTTTGGAAGGGATAAAATTCAGTGAAAGTTTCAGCTTTCTATCTAAAATAGAAAAAAAGTTCTGACCTTTCAAAGTTTTCCAAAATCTAAATCATAAGGACCTCAATAATAAAACAAAGAAATTTCAGTTTTTTTTGTTGTTGTCTTAATGGTCCTTTGGGATCCCCTAAACTCCATGCACTAAATTATTCTGAGATTTGGAGCCGGATTCGTAGAAGATTCAATTGGCTTTAATTCAAGCTCAATTACATTGAGATCGGATTGAAATTAACAAAGTTGTGTAAATGTCATTTTAAAAGGAATCAAGTTTCCGAAAAATTTCAATTTTGTAGAAAATGTTTCAGGTATTAGATGGAAATTTTGCAAGTGGATAGAGAAAGGATTGAAATTTGGGAAAAAATGAAAATTTCCTTATGATCGTTCACCTAGGAATTCTTTCCTAAAACTGTGAGGAATTTGAAAGAATTTATGGGAAATTAGAGAAATACCCTTCCTTTGCTAATTATATTCCTTAGAAATAATGGGAGCGGATTATTTTCAATCATCAATTAAACAAAATCCAAAAATAAAATGAAAACTAATTTTTATTCAAAAAAAAAATCAAAATCCTACAACTACTAAGTCCATTCTTTAACCCTTTTCTCCTCCTCCATCTCCTTCCAATTAGGCGAATGCCTCTCCACATTCAACCAATTAAAATCGTCCACACATCTCCAATTGTTCACCTCTCTTTGCAATCCCGCCTCAGCAAAATCCTGCTCAATTCCCTCATACGTCCAATTGTAAGTTGCTATTTCGATGCTGTTACAATCTTCCATGATCGCCCGGCTAGTGACGTGGAGGTAAATGTCTACATTTTTCGAGGAGTGTAATCGTAGTTGCTGACAAGCGATTACTAGAGTGGTGTCAAAGCAGTTTTCAGCAAAAATTGAAGTTGAAACGGGGCCTGAGAATATTTTACAATTGCTGAGGTGGTTTAAGTGGAGGGTGCTGGGGTGACCTTTGAGATAAACTGTGCAGTTTTGCAAGTGTTCTAGTGAAACATCTTTTTTGGCTATTTCAAGATTTTCCAAGTGCAAAGTTTGATTGGATTTTTTATAAAAACCACACTCAATAATTGATACTAGTTTATTTGGTTGAAGACTAAAATCAACTAAATCCTCACTTTTTGTTGGAGCTTTTGCCTTATTTGATTTATTTTTGAAGCCAAACTTCTTCTTGGGCAACAAATCGTTTTCTAGTTCTGTGGTTTTTAGACTCAGCTCCTGTAAATTGTTTTGACATTTTTGTAAAAAGTAATGTTTTAAAAACAAACTAGATGCTGCTACATATTTTTGTAATAAGGAAATCTCTTTTGTTATTTTATTAAAGTGTTCGGGGAGTTCGTTTTTTGGTAGGCATTGGGCTTTTTTCAGTAAACTTTCAATGGAATTTTGTTTTTCTTTGAAGGTTCTTTGAAAAAAGTCCATTTGCTCATTTTCAGCTGAAATCGAGTTTTTGTTTTCCTGCTTCTTTTGCAAATTCAACTTCCTTTCCAGTTCACGATTTTTCATTGAATCTATCAACTCCATTATTTTCTTATATCTTTGTCGATTTCTTCTTTTGACAAACGATAAATGGGTTTATCTGATCTTGAAGCCTTTTCAAGCACTGCCAATAACTGTTCTTGTTTGGTTAGTTTGTTGAATTTATCAACTCCCGGATAATCGTTGGAAACTTTCTTGAATTGTTCTTCTTTAGGAGTGGTTGTTAATAGCAATATATACCCGAAACCTGTCAGCGAAGTGAGCCAAAATAACGACTTGATAAATCTAGAAGGTTCCATTAATGCTACAAAAAGATTAAATTATATATTGTGTTTTTTTTTTTTGTGAAGCACTTACTTCAGGTGTACTAATGGCTTTCCAATAGGCCTCGTCCACTTTTCTTACTTGATTTGTCGAATCTATTAGTTCACTAGTTCGATAATAGACCTCCAAAATAAATGGATAGTTTTCTTTCAAGTGTTTTCTAGTTTCTGAAATAATAATTTAATAGGAGTTTATTAATTAGGAACTTGGAAGGAAGAGAATTATTGACAATTAGACACTGGCTGACATCACACAGATAACCTCACTTTCAATGGGGGGACAAACAAAGCGTCTTAGGCTCGGTTGTACAATCTTGGTTCAAAACAGAGTTCAGCTGAACTCAAATGATACTTGAACTTCTCCATTTGAAATGCATTACTATCCACATTGATAGAATTTGATTATTAGCTGACAGCAATGTATTTTAAATTGGAAAGTTCAAGTACCAGTCAAGTTCAGTTGGCCCTTAAAGACTATTCATACAAAAAGGCACTAGTTATTACGTCACAAATCACATAACATAACGTCACATTCTTTGAATATATTCACGTTCGATAGGGGGACAAATAAATGTAAATATCGTTTTTCTGTCAATGACATGTTTGTCCCCCTATCAAAAAAGTGAGGTTATGTGATTTGTGACGTAATGAATAGCTAGCACCTATATGGGGTGTATATTTTAAGTGATACCACTATTGCTATATCCGAAACAGTAAGAGCTACAAGGTCGGTTAAATGAGAAAAAAGTTGCATTTTTTGATGCCGTGGTATCGCTTAAAATATACACCCTGTATATGTGCGTAAATAGTCCTTAAATCCTTCGTTGTAAAGGATGTAAATGGTTGTAATGTAATGTATGGAAACAGCCCTAAGAAAAATGCATAATATTTCCTATCTGGGGCAGAAACTCTGTAACAAATAGAGATCGTTATCCCTATTGTTATAACACTTGTTGTCTTTTTCTTTCTCTTAAAAATCAATAGGGAGGGGACGTCAATAGAGACAGAGAAAATATCTCTAATCATTACAGAGTCCCAGCTTGGGAAATTAATATACTTGAAACAGGGGAGCAGTATTCTCACAAAAACGCATAATCTTTTTTTGCATGACTCTGACAAAGACAGAGCAATTATTGTTCTCATAAGACCACTATGTCCTGGATTCCAGAATAGGCATCCTGAGCTGGTAGTCTGTAATGAATAGAAATTTTTCTTCTCTCTATTGACGTCGCCTGTCTATTGATTTCAAAAAGAGAGAAGATAGCAAGTGCCATAGCGTGGGGATAAAGACCTCTAACTGTTACAGTGACATAGTCCCAGTTCTGGGGGTTTTGGGAATGCCCGATTCAATTAGGCAATTCAAATCACCTGATGATTCAAGATGGCGGCGTGGGCATAACAAACTTGACAACAGAAAGAACATCAAATCCAAGGATGATACACACTACTGTGTAACTTTTTTTTCTTTTTCAAATGAGAGTTTCTCTTTTATTGTATGCACCAGATTAATTTTAATTTAGCATCCCAACATTACTAAACCCCCAAATTTTCATTTGACTTAGTTTTTGAAATATGGCAACACAGCTTTTTTGTTGAAATGTTTTATGGAAAAGGTTTTATATTCCAAAACAGGTTTTATCCATCGGATTGCATATCTGACAGTTTATCAGAAGGTGAATAACCCTGTCCTAAGTTGAGATCTTTTATATAACAGAATATAAAATAGGAAATAACATCGCAACTTTGTATTTATGTTTATTTCTTATTTTAATTTATTTTTGTGTATAAATCCAGCATATTTTTATTTTATGATAATTATTTAGGGTCAGTTTCTCAATAACGAGTCACCTTCAGGTTGGTGTTAACTCCAGGATACACGTGTCCAGTTGCAATTTTTACCCTGGAGTTATGCTTATCCTGGGGGTGACTTTCTATTGAAAAACCGGCCCTTAGTAATCAATTATAGCTTTCTAGATATTATAATAAAAATAATTTAAAAAAATCAAATACCCAAGACAAAATAAGCAAAAACAATCAATTTCCCATTCAGCCGAGCTTTGGAGCCCCATTTAGAACCCCACCGGTCGAACTGAGCCCCATTTTCGGGCAAAATTCCAATCAGATTGCATTTAAAAATGACTCACCCCTATCCCTATTAATTTTAGACCAGCCAAAATAGGTGACTCCGAACGCAGCTACTTCGAACACTGCGGCAACAAGGGCGCCCCTTTTTATCCACTTTCTCAGAGAAGTCTTGGGGTGTTTCACTAGCATAATTTAGCAAGGGAACTTCTAGACATTTGGGGCCCCCCCTGACCTTTTACCTACGCAAATGTCAGTCACAGCAAGTCGTCAAAACGCTGACGTAATTTCTTCTTAAAGCGTTTTCATTATACTCCGGTTCTCCTTGCACTGAGTGCAAGTGACTTAAAATTCTATTCGAATTTTTAGAACTACTCTAAGTGTTCTAATTGCTTTAATTTCTGTTTCATCTGCACTAACTCTGTTCTGTTTGCACTGCTCTGATTGTTACTGTTCGAACTACTCTAATATGCTACTACTAATCAATAGATTTATTCATTATAACAGTAGGCTGATTTGAAAATTAGTTTTGGGTTATTGGTAATTTTCAAAGAGTGAATGCGCCACGTTAGCTTTGGATCTCTATCTTTTACGGACTGATAAAAAATAATGCAAATATAATGTATCTTAAATCCACTAATTTACTCGAAAGCAGATTGGATCTTAAGTCACTTGCAATCATCAGTGCAAGGAGAACCGAAATATAATGAAAAACTTTAAGATGAAATTACGTCAACATTTTGACGACTGCATTAAGCCTAGTACTTAAGTCTAGTACTCATAACTGCGAAATTCGCATTTTTTTGACATTGCTTCAACAATTTGACGTTTAATACACGCAGAAAGCGTCAAATTGCCAACGCAATGTCAAAAAAATGCGAATTTCGCAGTTATGAGTACTATAGGCTTTATACCAGCGAAATTCGCACTTTTTTGACATTGCTTCGACAATTTGACGTTTTATTCGTGAATCAAACATCAAATTGTCATGAAATTGTTGAAGCAATGTCAAAAAAGAGCGAATTTCGCGGTTATAAGTATTTAGACCTTAATCCGATTAGAGCCGCTTTCCAGTAGTTGTATTCCTTTCACGCCTAGGAAGAGCTCCGGTACAGCTCCGGGGCGTTACGTGCTTATCCCTTTCGAAAAATGTTTATTGCACCCCGCATCTTTCCCTTAAAATCGGGGTCGACTAGCACCGGAGCGAGTAGCTCGAGTGTTCCGAACTCTTGAAAGGAATACTAACGAACAGTTCAGTTGCGCGAAGCTCTAATGCACTGGAACGCCTGTAAAGAGTGCGGGGTGCTCTAGAGCAGCTCCGCAGTGCTCAAAGTACGTCACTAAAAAGTGACTCTGCTCTCGAGTGAATTAGTGGTTTTAAGATGCACCGAGTATATTACTTTTTATCAGCCTGTAAAAGAAAGAGATCAAAACCCATTGTTGCCAGATTACTCTTTCGAAGTTGCCACATGCACAAATAGCTAACTAGCAACTTCACTCGTATTGTTATAAACAACATTATTGGACGTGGCGCCATCATTTCTCTTTGAAAATTACTAAAAACCCAAAACTTATTTTCAAATCAACCTACTGTTATAATGAATAAGGCGACGGTTCCGTAAGTTAACCAAGATTCTTGGTTTTTCCGGTTCCCGTTCCGTAACCTAACCAGATTTCAGAAGTGGTTCCTGAAAAATTCGGTCCCAAACTCTCACCGAATCTACCGATCAAAAAACTTTGATTATTTCGGTTTATTTACGATTTCTGACATTTGTTTGTTAAGTTAAGTGATGATTTTTAAATTTTTTCATTTTTCTTCCGCTTTCGAAGTGTATTTGCGGTGAAAATGGGATAAGAGGTAAATATCACATTCATTCATGTCGATTTCTTATTACAAATATATTTTTAGGAGGATAATATTCTATCATCATGTATCCAAGCCAAACCAGAGCTGAACCGAAGCGTTCCACACATAAACCGCATATGATCACCATAGACAAACCGCTTCATACCGATCGGTAACTCTGGTTAAGATATGGAACCCTGCCTAAATTTATTGTTCAATAGTAGCATATTAAAGTAGTTCGAACAGTAACAATCAGAGCAGTGCAAACAGAACAGAGTTAGTGTGGATGGAACAGAAATCAAAGCAATTAAAACACTTAGAGTAACTCAAAAAATAGGAGGAATTCAAATAGAATCCATGCAGATGGAATTTTTAGAGCAATTTAAATTGAGTTAGTGCAAATGAAACAGAATTAGAACAGTCAAAATAGTTCAAAAACTTGGACAGATCAAAAAGAGTCAGCGCACTTGGAACAATCAGAGTAGAACTTCGTTGACCAGTCAGAAACAACTACTCCGAGGGCAAATACCCCTACCGGCGTTGAACTACACTGATTGGTCTGAGCTTTCGTTGGCAATAGAAATTGTTAGAAAGATTTTTACAGGTAATGACCAACGTGAATACAGGGACACTTCGATCCCTGTTTGGGAATCGGCCCACTGAGCAGTGGACTCAGGCTTCCCGTGCCAATCCTTGACGCGTTTCGTCCTTGTTAGGACTCATCAGAAGGACATAGGCTGAAGCTCCCTGTCCAAGCAAAATTGAACTTCGTTGACCAGTTGGTCATTACCTGTAAAAATCTTTCTAACAATTTCTATTGCCAACGAAAGCTCAGACCAATCAGTGTAGTTCAACGCCGGTAGGGGTATTTGCCCTCGGAGTAGTTGTTTCTGACTGGTCAACGAAGTTCAATTTTGCTTGGACAGGGAGCTTCAGCCTATGTCCTTCTGATGAGTCCTAACAAGGACGAAACGCGTCAAGGATTGGCACGGGAAGCCTGAGTCCACTGCTCAGTGGGCCGATTCCCAAACAGGGACCGAAGTGTCCCTGTATTCACGTTGGTCATTACCTGTAAAAATCTTTCTAACAATCAGAGTAAAGTTACGAAACACCCAAAATTGATTTTCAAATCAGCCTATTGTTATAGTAAATGAATTCATTGTTTGGTAGCATATTAGACTAGTTCGAACAGTAACAATCAGAGCTGTGCAAACAGAACAGAGCTAGTGCAAATGAAATAAAAATTAGAGCAATTGGAACACTCGAACCATAGAGGGAATTCAAATAGATGCAGATAGAATACTTAGAGTAGTTTAAATCGAGTTAGTGCAAACGGAATAGAATTAAAACAAGCAAAGTAATTCGGAAAATTGAACAGATCAAAAAGAATCAGTGCACATGGAACAGTCAGAGTAGAATTACTAAAAATCCAAAATTAGTTTTTAAATCAGTCTATTAAAATTACACTCGGTTATTTACGCGCCAGAATTTTAAAAGCTCCAAGTACAGTTTTGACTCCAGAGTAAGCGTGTCCGTGTTCGTGCTATGTTTATCTTGAATCGCTCTCCAGTGACGTACTTAAGCAATCCAGAGCTGCTCTAGAGCGCCCCTGACTGTTTATAGGCGTTCCAGTGCATTAGAGTATCGCGCAACTGAACTATTCGATTTTCTTCTCCTCTGCCCTCTCAAAAACCTTCAGTTTTATGGCAGCATCAAAAACATGACGCTTAAAGTAGGGTGTGTTCTAGTGACACAACAGTTGTTTGGAGCACCAGAGTGTAAAGAGACTGGTGTGAAGCACCTAAAAATTCGTCACTGGAAAGCAGCTATGGAGCTATGCCTAACCCGGGGGTGACTTGCTTTTAGTTGTATTACTTTCACACCTAGGAGGAGGAGTATTCCTTTCGAACAGTGAAAAGTGTTTGCACCCTAATGTGCCCGAACTCAAACCATTTAGTGCACGTAAGCCAGTGCATCTGATCCTCTCAAATCGGGGTCAACTAACACCGGAGCAAGTAGCTCTAGTGTTCTGAACTCTTGAAAGTTACAACTATTGAGAAATCGGCCCTGAATTAACATGCCATTAAAAACCTACTAGAAAAATCTTACAAAAAAAAAGAAGAGTTGAATATTACTTAAACATAACCTAAAACCTAGTTTGACAGAAATTCAAAATTAAAAATAGTTTTTAAAAATCTAAATATAAATGCGCAAAAACTAGTTGGCACCCTTTTAAATCGTTATTTGAATCGTAAACAAAATCTATTTTCGGATTTAAATTAGTAGATAAGGCATCTACCGGTAAGTATTTATCACTCAAAGTCAAATGGTCAAAAACTAATTTTTGTCATTATTGCAAGAGAATGTTGAAGAAAAAATCAATTTTCGTTACTATTTTAGTGTTTTTAGCACTGTTTAATCGAAATATGGCTTGGCGGTCGCACGGTAGGAACAACTTGGACATGGTACAACATTTAAAAGGTAAAATGACCTACTTTTCCCCTTTACAAAACATCTAAATTATTTCTTTATAAGCCAACGGCATAATAAAATCGGATTTGGTCGAACAAGCCATGACAGCGGTAGATCGCAGTCACTATTCAAAAAACAACCCCTTTATGGACTCCCCTCAAAGTATCGGTTACGGAGTTACCATCAGCGCTCCTCACATGCATGCACACGCATTGGAATTACTCAAAAATCAACTAATCAATGGAACTAGGGCTTTAGACGTAGGCTCTGGCTCAGGCTATCTGACCGCTTGCATGGCCAAACTTATGGGAACTAAAGGGTAAACAAAAAAATCACCAACTTTTCAATTTATTGGTGGATTTTTTAGTGTTGCAGTTGGCATTGATCATATCCCAGAATTGATTGATTTGTCCGAAAAAAACGTGAAAAAAGCAAATTCGGATTTATTAAACAGCGGTCAAGTTTTATTTGTCACTGGCGATGGTAGGCAAGGGTATCCCGAAATGGCGCCCTATGATGTTATTCATGTTGGTGCGGCCGCTCCCGAACTACCTCAGCCTTTAATTGACCAATTAAAGGTAATAATGACGTCAGAGTCCCTAAAAACAAAGATGCCAAATTTTTTATAAGTATGTCATTCCAAAACATGTCTGTATTGTATTGTACTATTAAGCAGAAACTTTAGTACATTGCAACCTATTTGCGTCCTTTGCTAAGCTATAAAAAAAATAAAGGATACCTAGGTATAATTGGTGAACTCTTGTTACTTAGTATATGAGAGGGTGTTTTCAGTCACGTAATTTTTTGCAGGTTGGTGGCAGGATAATAATTCCAGTAGGCCCAGAAGGTGGCAATCAAAAACTGGAACAAATTGATAAACTTCCGGATGGTACTGTCAGTAGGAAAACTTTGATGGGCGTGGTATATGTACCCCTGACAGATAAGCAGCACCAATGGCCCAAAAGTTATTGACATTGCGGTACCAATGGTTGTTTGATATTTTAAGTTTGCTGGGATACAAGTACCACCCATGAGAATTTTTTTTTTTTTTCATTTCTGTGATAATTTTTTTCTTTCTTGCATTAAATTATAAAATTCATCAATTAATATACTCATTGTTTTGCTTGATTTATATTGTGTTGTTTTAATTTTTTGTCAATTAATTGTAAAAATAAAATGAAGCCACAATAAATACCAAAACCTCCTCAACAGGAAAAACGAGTCTGAGGTCACGTGGTTTTCCACGCGATACGCCAAACGTGATCCTTGACTTGGATCATGTGCGAATTACGAGGAACGTAATCGACTTACCTCCCGAAACGAGTCGGAACTTATATCGATAAGAGAGATTTCGCATGGTAAAGTTCATAACGGAATATCCATACCGAGTTTTTGGTGCTGAAAAAAGTATAATTTTGTTTTTACATTTTTTAGGTTGGCAAAACTGTCAGAAAAGAAAATTCGAAATTTTATCATTATATCAAAAAACGAGCTCATTTAACATTGTTTTTTATTCAGATGATTGGTTTAAAGGTTGCTCAGAAAATAACTTTCAATAGTTGTGTAACAAATTATAGTGAGTTTACGGTTTACGTTTTCAGGTTGATAAAATTGACAACCGGAAGTCAAAAAAATTAAACAAAATAACGTTTACCGTTTCTCCATTGCAAGTTGTCCCTATTAATAAAACGCTGATCACGTTTACGAATAGACAAAGACAGTGCTAGTTCAAACGACGTACGTCCAAGTGCGATGCACGTCCTCACGTGTACACTGGCGTGTCATTTTTATTTTTTTTTTACTCTAATTCACTTGTTTTGCGTGTATGTATCGGAGTTAATGTCAAGTCGTAAGCCCGCTAGGATTGAAATTTTGGTTTCAGTGTGAATGTGCCTTTGTGATTTTGTTTATTTTTGACAGTTCAGGTCATGGATAACATGTCGCGCTATTGGGAAGAAAACGCCAACTTGCAGCGTGTCAAATTTGAAAGGTAAAAGAATTTATATATATAATTGTACGTGACCTGGGTCATAAACTATTTTTAAATTTTATCAATTAATTTTTTTGTACTAAAGTTAGCACAAATTGTACTATTTTTTTTAATTACAATACTTAATAATTTGTTAATCCCGAAATAGAGTTGAGGAATTCCGAAAATAGATTGATTTTGAAAAACATGTTTGCGATTCCATTTGGTGAATTGTACTAGAGTTTTGACGTTGTACTAAAAGAGGGCAATGTGCAAAAAGAGTCATAATTTGACATCTGTCAAAATTGTCAACATCTCATTCGAATCTTTCAAAATGCTCTACGAATCAAAATCATCGAAAACTTTCCATTATATTGAAGATCATGGTGCATCACTTCCGGTTATACTCTATACCGGAAGTTTTGCTGTCAACTTGCTCATTTCATTTTAAATAGAACCCTCTATACAGTGTTGTACATAAAGTATGGAATAAATTCAATATGTGTAAAATAAATAAAGGCGTTTTCGAAAAAAACGCTCAAACATATCAATTTTGTTGTTTTGCTTCAAATTTTGTCCACACCAATTTTTGAACTGAAAACTTCTTTAGTTTTATTTGGTAATGGCAAACCGATGACGTCATCAGGTAAAATCAACCGTTCCGGGTATATTGTTCATAAAACATGTCAAGAATTTTCCGCAGAATACGGAAATGTCATAATATACAGGGGGCACAGTGTTTTTTCGAAAAACGCCTTAATTTATCCTGTATTGAATTTATTCCATACTTTGAACATGTACACCCATGTCTAGAATTTTGCGAAGAATTTAAAAATAAAATATTATACAGGGTGTCTTTTCAAAATAAGTAAGTTGACATTAAAACTTCCGGTATAACTAGAAGTGCCGTGATTTTGAAAATATTTCATCTACATGGCCTCCATATCGACATAGCTATGTTGCCAAACTTTTAAAGTTTATTTTCCGAAAAGTTAATTGCGGTTGTTTGGTATGGGACACCCTGTAAACCTAGTAGATTTTGAATTAAAGAGGAACAGAAGTGAAAAACTTCAAAAATCACAACGATCGAAAACGTAGATTGAATAAACAAACATCACAGATGCTTGACCTTTGCCGCCATATTGAATCCTAGCATTTGTGGTTCGGATCGGATTGTTTAAAAAGAAGGAGGTTGCCTGATAACTTTTATGTCGTCATCTTTATGCCGGTTTGTTCATAATTCATAGTCTATAGACTTTATCGAAGGCGTGATCTGAGATTTTGGACGCTGATTGGTCAAAATTGGGGGGTCGACTTGGGCGACCAGTGCTCAATTTAAACGATTAACCCAAGGCCCTAGTAAGGCCCCAAAGTCTAGCCAATCTGTTATATTATGTTAACTTATATCCTTGATAGAACCACACCCAAAGACAAAAGGGGCCAAAGGGTCAAGTTCTGGCTCTTGTCCGCCTAGTGGGTGTGGTTGTATCAACGATATTACTATAAGTTAATATAACATAATCAGCGTCCAAAATCTCAGATCACACACTCGAAAAAGTCTATAGACTTTATGAACGGACTATAAATTGTCTGGTAATGGCAAACAGATGACGTCATCCTGAGAATCTCATGTAGATTTGCATTATGTTTAAGCATCCAGAAGACGTCATGAAAGTTATCAGGCAACCTACCTCTTTTAAACAATTTTGATGCAAATCTCAATAAGAACTACCTGATAACGTCATCTGTTTGCCATTACTAAATAACCTCAAATAACATTTTGTCCATGATATCGGCAACGTCGCTGAAATTTGTTCTACGTGAAGTCTCCATTGAATTCCAATCACACTATCTCTCTCTCTCGCACTGCTGAATGTTTCTCTCTTTGGCTTGACTGAACTCAACTTGAGCTAACTACACTCTACACTGTATAAAATAGGTTTGCCATTAGTCATTACATATTCATAAAATATGTCCAGAATTTAGCGTAGAATTTTAAAAAATATACAGGGTATACCATTTGAAACGAAACAGGCTGAATATCTGATGTCACTTTTATATATTTTTTAATTGCTCGTATACGTAATTTGATTGTGTGAGTGTTTGAAACATTTTCAGCACTAACTAAACAACTCTAGCTGAGTTCGGCTATTCAGCGCGGAGTTGGAGTGGAGTGAACAGAGCTAATGAAGTCACCACTAATACCGTAAAAAGCAATACCCGAACCTTAACCCGAACGGCTGGAGTGCGAATGGAGTCACTCGGAGTGCACGGAGTGAGCAAGCCGAACTCACCCTCTCGAGGAAGGGGATCGAGTGATACCTGTTTTAAAAGAGCGTTCAATAATTTTCTTTCGAATAACATAAAATAAAAGAAAATTGAACGCTCTTATAAAGGAGGTATCACTCGACCCCTTGTTCCATTTGAAATAGTAAGGGTTGGTCCCACCACCCCGCCTAGAGGGTTAAAGTTAAAATGTTAAAAATGGTTGCAGAAAACTTCCCCCTTTGACAATCAAATTACGTGTAGAAGCGATTTTTCTAAAAATAAACGTGGCATCAGATAATTAAGCCTGGCTGGGTTCGATAATTGCATTTGCGAGCAAAAAAAGCAAATTTTGACGGACGTCACGTGATCACTTATCTTTTGTCATGTGTCAAATCACGTGATATCAGTCAAATTTTGCTCGTAGATGCAATAACCGAATCCAGCCACTAGGCAATTTTTGGCGAGGATAATCAAGCATACTTGAGTATGCAGGGTTATGTGATGTGTCAAGTGTGACATACTTCCCTAACTCCCTCACCATCAAATTCTGGGACTGCGAGTGACGCCACGATCAGAAGCTTATAATGATGACGTCACCCGCAGATATCGATGGAATGCTTGCTAGTGAGTTAATTTTTTCGTCGATTTTAAATGTAGAAAAAGTGATTTTTGGTCTGTTCTCACAGAAGTAATTAAGTGTTCTTGATCCTCGAGTATTTTAGAATTTGATGGTGGGAGAGTTAGGGCAGTGTGACACAAATGACACATCACATAACCTAGCAATAGATTATGCTTGGTTATCCTCGCGAAAAGTTGCCTACTGTTTCGCTTTAAATAGTATACCCTGTATATACAGGGTGTCCCACGGTGGATGACGTATTAGACGTTTATGGAGAACTAAAGAGCGGATCATTTTGAAAATTTGGCAATCGGGATAAACGACCATGATCTACACTTTAAAAATATTTTTGACCATGCGGTGTTGCCGCTTCTACTCTAAACTAGTGGCAACATCACTATTTTAAATGGAACACCCCATATTAAATTGCATATTTGGATTTTACGTAAAATTGTAAGCAGATTTCATGTGATATACCCTATACCTAAGTTCAACTGTTTTGGAAATATTGACAGTTGAAAATTGACTTTTTGCAACTTTGACAGGCTGTAAAACCTAATTGGTTAATTTTAGAGGAAAACCGATTTCACATTCCTATCTTAGATTTTGATAAACTATCATTTGACACCAACTTAGAATTAAATCCATGATTAAAAATTTCAGTTAAATTTAATCTCTGGTTAAGTTCAAAGTTGATGTTAAATGATAGTTTATCAAAATCTAAGATAGGAATGTGAAATCGGTTTTCCTCTAAAATTAACCAATTAGGTTCTACAGCCTGTCAAAGTTGCAAAAAGTCAATTTTCAACTGTCAATATTTCCAAAACAGTTGAACTTAGGTATAGGGTACAGTGGCTAAATAAACCTTTACATACAGTGGCGACAATAAAGTTCCCGCCGCCATCTTGTTCCCAACCTCTTGTTACTTTCAAATATTAATATATAAGATTTAAATAGACATCTATCATAAAAAATTAAAATCGGCATATTTGATGACCATTATTAGGTTCATCAAATACGTTGTTTTCCATGTTTTATGATGGATGTTCACCTAAATCCTATATATTCATATTTAAAAGTAACAAGAGGTTGGGAACAAGATGGCGGCATTTTCAATATAAACATATGGGATTTTTGAACCAATCAAAAATGAGACCGCAATTGTCACCACTGTGGTAATAAAGTCACTGTAGTATAGGGTATATCACATGAAATCTGCTCAGAATTTTACGTAGAATCCAAATATGCAATTAAATACGGGGTGTTCCATTTAAAAGAGTGATGTTGCCACTAGTTTAGAGTAGAAGCGGCAACACCGCATGGTCAAAAATATTTTTAAAGTGTAGATCATGGTCGTTTATCCCGGTTGCCAAATTTTCAAAATGATTCGCTTTTTAGTTTTTAGTTCTCCATAAATGTCTAATACGCCATCCACCGTGGGACATCCTGTATAGGGTGTTCCGTTTAAAATAAGTAAGTTTACATCAAAACTTCTGGTATAACCGGTCAACCGGAAGTAACGCAATTTTGAAAATACTTTCTCCATCGATATTGCGATGTTGCCAAACTTTCAAAATTTTCCTAAGTTTACTTTCCGAGAAATCAAATGCAGCAGTTCTACGTAGAATAAATACCCTTCTATTAGATTTTGAATTTAAAAAAATACTACTCAAAGATTTGTTAATGGTCGCGTTCACCAGCACTCAACATGTTGGGTGATTAGAAGCGGCTTTATCTCAACAAGTGGAATACACAAGGTAGAACAGTTTTGATTGGCCTAAAGAGCTGATTTATCTGTTTTCAACAAAACCGCTGATTAATCAGTAATCACTCAACATGTTGAGTGCTGGTGAACGCAACCAGATTAATTTAAACTAATGGCGTTTCCGTCTGGGAGAATTAAGCCTAGTACTCATAACTGCGAAATTCGCAATTTTTTGACATTGCTTCGACAAATTGACGTTTTATGCGTGAATTAAACTTCAAATTGTCGAAGCAATGTCAAAAAATTGCGAATTTCGCAGTTATGAGTACTAGGCTTTAGGGTGGGTATTATAAAACTGCTTTGACAGTTAACTTGAAGTTAACTTTTTGAATTATATGTAATAGACCTATCTCGCATGATTAGAAAAAGAGAGCTTAATTGTAATAAATACAAGTTAGAAAGCAATAAAATATGACATGCGCGCGCAACTCGTAGGCTGCAGTGTAGCCAGATTGTATTGTTGCAGAATAAATGTAGACAATATACAAATCGAATATTATAACATTAAAGAAGTGATAAAGTGCCAAGTGCCTTATATCAGATAAAAGAAGAGTTTTAAAGTGGATGAACATCGTTTGCACTTTTATTTTGATAAATGTTTCATCCGGCAACATCGCTCAATGAAATTGCAAAGGAATATGTCAACTATAATCTTAAACGAAACTGCGGTGAGTTCAAGTAATATGTCACTAGTAATATGTAAAGAATTAGTTTGGTCTTTGTCAAATTACACGTTACAAAGAAAGAAGGAACAATTCATTCTGAACTGGCCCCTGAATAAGAATATGACGCAAGCCTGTCACAAACTTGCTTCTCATTGGACGCTCACCTGCAGCCTACAAGCGACGCGCGTAGTCCAGGTAATAGGAGATAGGTCTATTCCAGAAGTTAACTTTAAATTAACTCTCAAAGTAGTTTTATAATACCCACCCTTAGGGCGGGTATTATAAAACTTCTTTGAGAGTTAACTTAAAGTTAACTTCTGAAAATACATGTAGGTAATTCAAAAAGTTAACTTCAAGTTAACTGTCAAAGCAGTTTTATAATACCCGCCCTTAGTGTAATATATTTCTATCTGTTTCCTTAACAGGCTGGAAAAAAGAGATGGAAATAAACTCGATGCAGTAAGCAGCAAAAAAAAAGATTGCTATCAACTTTTTCTACATGCTGATGGAAAAAGATACAAATAAACTTAATCTAATTATTAACTTGAATTGAATGAAAGAGGCAACTTGCAGAACTATTTCCTTTTAAAATAAAAAAGTTTCCAAACGATTGACCAATCAGTAACCTTGAAAGATGAACTATGCAATTTGACGTCATTAAAGATTTATTGGTGGACAAATGATGTTTAATTCATTGTTTATCTATCAATAAAAATAAATTTCAACTGTCAAATATTGTCAATCTGAAAAAAATAACTCCATTGTACTAAGTCTAGTACAATTTGTTGTTATATGGCGATTGAAAAAAAAAAATTATTATCGATTCGACGCCCGGAGAAAATTTCGTCAGAGAGCGAGTCGCGGCGAAAGCGGAGCCGAGGCCGTGACCATAACTCACGCGAGATAAGCCTGTGTGCTTCGACTCGTTTTCGTGACCCAACACTGACCTAAGAGTCACACACGTGACGTCATAATCCAAACTAATTTGGAATTGTAACGTTATCAAATGCTGAATCATATAACATTTATGTATTAACCAACAAATATTTATTACAGAAACTCTTTATTATCTTTTTTCTTCCAGGAAAATCCACTTGAACCAAGTACAATAACAAAATAATGCGTTTTACACGTGATCCAATAATATATTAAATTCTTTATTTGTTGTCACATGATTAATCGACTTTCTTTTGCCGTCACGCGTCGATGCCACGCGATACACCAGAATCGTGTTAATTTTTAATTAATCATTTTATTGAAGGTCCTTGTATTATACTTTCATGACGAGCAACGGAATTTAATTTTTCCGTCGTGTCTATAAATAGCCATGTTTGTTAATTTGTGACGTTGTCACGTGTTGACATATTGGCGTCCCCTTTCTATTGATATCGAAAAGAGAGAAGAAAGTAGCACTAATAGCAAGGGCCATAACGACTTTTTATCAAGAGTCTCACCCTAGAAGCTTTACTTGCGCTCTTGTCAAATTTGAATTGAGTGCTGTAAGAAGCGAATTACGCACGGTTGGATTTTATAATGAAGTACCTATATCTACTTTACCATATTTATAAAATGTAGAGAAAATTTGTAAATAAAATTAAATAATGTCCCATACCTATAAAAACAAGTTATATTGCCTAATCTAATAATAATAATATGGCTTGTTATCAGATATCATGTGTTACGTATTTAATAATTTAATGCTTATCGCGGAATTATTGTGTATATTAATGCGCAGATTGTCATAGAAAGACTTTGAGAGTGGATAGGAAACTTATTATTTCGTGTTTTTTAGTATTACTACGTCATGATTTTGGCTAATTTAGCTTATCGGTGAGAGAATTTTTATTTATATTTTTAAATTGATTCACATTTAAAATGTGTTTGAGAAGAAAAAATTGATTGTTTTCCTTTTCTCTTAGGTGCTGATAGAAAAAGACACAAAGATACACGTCATCAAAAATAAATGTCTTAAAATTTTTTTGGTATATAAATCTAAAAAATTATGTTCTATTTTGCATGTTAGAGTAACATTTCTCAGATCCTTTTGCACATTGTTGCCATACCAAAAAACTGACTTTGTTCTGAGTCCTAGACACTTGTTGCTACATTGTTGCCAACAGTCCATTAAAGAACTTGATAATTGAATAATTAAAAAACCCAATAATTTGAATATTTTATTATATTAAACAAAACACTATAAATACATAAGCCAAAATAAACTAAAAATATTCATCACCCATAACCATTTCCTTATAAGACATAACTTCCAATAAAGCTCCTCCCTTTGTCTCAGATTTGACCATATTATCAATTTCTTTAAACTGTCCAGGATCCACTAGGAAAACCAAAGTTATCTGATCTTCAACCTGCTCTTCATTTTCAACCTCAATCCCTTCAATTTTTTTAAGCTTGTCTCTCAACTTTTTAGCCTCTTTGCCTTTGAAATTAACTTTCAACCTCATCTTAGCCCGTTCAATAGGAATTGAATCAGACTCCTTAAGAAGTTTTATAACTGCCATGGCTTGAACTTTAGTATTTTGATTCGGTTTGACAGAGTAATGAGCATCTCTTATAGCTTTTTCGATTATCGTAACAGGATAGGGCCTTTTCAATTCAGGATTCAGGCATGTGTTTGCCACAGTTGTAGCTATTTCTTTGAATTGTTGCTCGATTTGGCTTTGCCTCTCTTTATCGGATACTTGCAGCTCGCCTTTGGCTAATATTTGTTTGCAAATCTCGGTTTGGTCTTCTATACCGAAGGCCTTGATTAGATCTTCTTTTTTTGCAGCTTGACCTTTGGATACATTTGTGAATACTGTATGGGTCTGAAGCACTTCATCTATGTCTTTTTCTCTGTAATAATTATTTAGATTTTGTGTAAATTTCACATGCAATGATCTACTTACACTTGATTTCGCCATGAAACGACTTTGTTCCTGTAACAAGCGATTTCGAACCGTTTTCCTGCTTTTTTCATTCGTACGACTGCGACGTTTGTCAGTCGGATTTGGTTTGTCGGGGTGAATATTTTACTCATTGTTGTTCCTGAAAACTATCAACAATTAATCAACAATTTTTTAATAATTAATTGCGCACTAGAGAAAGGGAACGAATTATTTAGGGTTATGTTTTGATTGTCCAATTTGAAGTGACACTGACGTTGACCGATAGCGTTTTCAGTTGGTAGAATTAGTGCAGCAAAATTTGTTTTTTTCCTAGTTCCGTTAATAGATCACTCAAATCTCTAAAATTTTAGTTTATACAGCGTTGCCAACATGTATGTTTCAACCACAGCATATATTTTCAACCGCGGTTACCATATTTTGTAAGTTTTTTGTGATTTTGTAAGCTTTGTTCCGAACAGGGACCCGAACCAAAATGAAGAAATATCGGTTCCGTTCTAATTCCGGTCCACAGGGTCATGAAAAATATTGGTTCCGTGTATTCCACCTGTTGGAACAAAGCCGCTTACTACTTACTAGACACTTATTGAATGCTGGTAAACGCGACCATTGTTATATTTTTGTGTTTTCAATCAGTTAATTAATAAAAATCTCAATTTCTCTACCACGTCAAAGTACCAGTGATGGCGTAGGCAAATAATGCCGCAGATATGGCTCTATGAAGGTACTGCATCTCACCCTATGACGTCACGAAAGCTCAAGCGACGCACGAGAAAGTGGAGTTAATTGAATTTACATATGTTTTTCCTGTGTTACCTGCAATAATCTAAACAAAAACCACTCACGCGTGCCGGGAACAATCAAATTACCAATGCGGAGCGCGGCTGGACGAAGTTCTCGTGACGTCACGAGAGCATCGTTCACACTTTAAAGCGGTATATCTCAACGATGGTTTATCGTAGAATAACGAGGTTTGAACAGTTATTCTTAGATTTTTTTACACTAAAACTTTAATTTTTGGCGCACACCCTCTTTAACGTAGGGTGCTTGCACCACAGGTTATGATCGCGCTGATTTTTGTTCTGTGCATATTTGGTTTTAGTACATTATTTAATATTCTAAAACAATCTTTGTTTAGTTTTCGTTAGCATCTTCCTCTTGCCTATCATTTTAATCGAAATTAAATAATATTTTCATCATAAATGTATATCTCAGCTACGACCACTGGCGCAAACCGCTAACGTCACCGTTGATGACGTCGGCAACGGTGCAACATCATGGAAACCAGATTTCGCATTCATGGTCGTATTTTGTTACAATAATCAATCGATGAACTTGATTTAAAAAAAGGCCAATGAGCAATTCTGTAGTAGTGTGTAATATCCTTAATATAGCCTAGCCAAGTTCAGAAATGCGCGCTTTCCAACGTTCTTTTTTTTTACAGTGTTATTTATTACGATACACGTCCCAAGATTGTTTGAGAGAGGTAGGCTGCCTTGGCGGATAAATTTATGACGTAATCGGGGATGTCTCAACATAATGCAAATCTCCATAAGGCACCCCGGATGCGTCATCAAGTTACCCATTACCAAGGAGAATACACATTCTAAAGAAGTGTTTATCGGCCTCGTTTTTGGTAATCGCCGCCATATTAGTCTGATACCATTTCCGACGTCATAACTAAGTCGTCAGCTGTTCAAACAGCCTACGTCAAGGCGAGAAATAACATGCTGCTTACGTCACAACTGGTATTTTGGCTTGGGGGAGAAAGCACACCCAGGCACACAGGCCTTATGAGGATAGGCCATCCTGAGTAGTAGTGTGTATCATCCTTGACCCATTATCAGGCAACCTATTAGCTTTAGAAACCTTGGATACGACCAAACAGCAAACGGACTAATTTATGACCGAAAAATACCGGTAAGAACCGATTAATTTATATCGGTACTGGTTCTGCCTGCCTTACAACATTTCTATGAAAGATGGGTTTCGTTCCGGCTCCGGTCCGCAAAAAAAAGGTCCTGTTCCGGTTTTCGGTTCCATATCGTTCCTGTCCGGGTCTCTGGTTCCGAAGAAGAATCCGAAATTCGTACACAAAGTGGTTTCGGAACCGTTGATGGGACGGATTTGGATGGAACCAGATCTATTGTCATATTTAATTGTGCAATGTTGCCACATTATTTAAAACATCTTCAGCTCCGACAAAAAGGCACCGTCGGTATAACTAGCTTGAAGAACGTGAAGGTAGCTTTACATTTAATTCGGATTGATTGCAGTTTGGATGGAAATTAAATGTGAACGCATCTTTACCGGTTTTCAAGTTTGCTATGCTCACGTCGCCATCTTGAATTTTAATTTGCAGCGTTGCCAACATGTATGTTTTAACTTTTTTTTTCGAGAAATTACACCACAGAATAAATAACAATCTGACAATTAATAAGCAATTTTTCGCGAGGATAATCAAGCATAATTGTTGATGCTGGATTATGTTATGTTTGAATTATGTCATATTCCCCTATTTTCCCCACTATCAAAATCTGGAATACTCGAGGATCAAAATTAATTTCTTTTGTGAGAACAGACCGAAAATCACCTTTCCTACATTCAAAATCGACGACAAAATTAACTCACTAGCACAGCCTGAGTCGCGAGCATTACATCGAGGTCTGCGGGTGACGTCATCACTATACGCTGCTGATGGTGACGTCACTCGCAGGCCCAAAATTTAATGCGGTGGGAGTTAGGGGAGTGACACAATTATTGACACATCACATAACTTCATCACAATCGGATTATGCTTGATTATCCTAGCGAGAAATTGCGCAATTATTAAGAACGTCATAAAATAAAAACCGTTTAGTGTGAAAATCAAATTAATTTCATAAACAAAAAACTTCTGATTGCTATTTGCTACACGTCAAAAATTGATTATGTTTTGTTTGGGAGAGGTAGGTTGCTTTATAACTTTATGACGTCATCTGGGGTGCCACAATGTAATGCAAATTTCCATATGCCAGATGCGTCATCAAATTACCCATTATCAGACAATCTATTAACTATAACTCTACACATTTTACATTGTTACCAATCATTTTGATTTGATAAACATTATTGTGATTGTTCCAGGTGTATACCCAACGAAGAACCAGTGGTCAGAATGAAAGACGCCGACCGCGCCATCTACCCGTGTTGCGATTCGTAAGTATCCGAGGCCTACTACTATACCGCAAAAGTAGAGCCCTTGATTTTTTCTTTTTGTTTACTTTCTATCCACAGGTGTAGCAACAATATTATTGTTCTTTTTAGACGGACTATGATTTTGTTGTTCGTTCGCAATCAGTCACAATCGGTCAGTTTGCACCAGCTGCGTTTGCAACCCATTTTTCTCTATCTGTGTGTGTCAGGGTCAGAAGATGTCCCAAATATTATTATGACACTGCGAACGGTAATGAGTTGAACAATTTGAACAATATTATTTAGTCCCCCTCTGTATTTTTCTCTCCATTTTTTTTTTGTTTGGAATCAGAGATTTGTTATATTTTTGCAAGGTCAGTGCAGATAGTGCAATTAGTGCTGCACTGATTGTAGTAACTACGCTAATTACACTAGCGTTGCACTAATTGCACTAACCTTGCACTATCTGACAAGAACTTCTGATTCTAGGTGAAACAAACTTTAAATATTCTATGATCTCAGGCTCGTATTTGAGACATCTGTATATTTTTCGTTTTATTGATTTTTGTTATTTTTTATTGAATTGTATTCAGTATACAGGGTGTATCAAATTTAATTTGCTCATACAGAATGCATTATTGTGCTTTTGATAGTTTTTATAGAAAATATTTTGAAACACCTTGTATATTGTTTACTCAAGTTTCTTTGTGGTACTGGGTGTTTGTTTACAACTGGAACACTCAGTAACATACTTATTATTAAAATGAAGGGCATGTTTGAGTTGGAAAATTTCTTGGTAAATTGCAACCTTTAAACGCTACAACGATATTTTTTTTGTCGTTATAGGTATACAGGGTGCGCCAAAAAGGTATTTTTTTAGATGGAACCCCCTGTATATTTTTGTTATCCAGTGTTTGACATTTTTGTGAAGCTAATTTTCTAAGAATTTTAGAAATGGCAAAAATGTACAGTGCGTTCCATTTTAAGAAATGACTTATTTGGCGCACCCTGTATACTTATGGCGACAAAAAATATCATTGTAGGCAATTTACCACGAAATTTTCCAATTTAAACATACCCCCTGTTTTCAATAATTAAAAGTTACTGAGTGTGCCAGTTACAAAAAAACACCCTGTAGTTACAATCCTGTGCATATTATGTTTAAGTATACTTCTCATTCTAATTTTGTACTTCTTTTATGTGCACACGACTGTATATACAGGGTATCCGGAATAACTTGAAGTACCTACATAGGGATTTTGGAAACCATTGAAGATACAGGATAAATCAAAAGTAACGCAATCAAGTGCCTACAAATAATCTCGGAATAGCAACGGATATACAGGGCAAAAAAGAAAAAAGTGCGTTTGTTCATGTTTGTGTATTTGCCCTGTTTATTTGTTGCTATTCCAAATTCAGAGAAGTTAATGACATTATTTATAGGCACTTGACTGCGCAACTTTTCCTCCATTTGGTCCACCCTGTATCTTCAATGATTTCCAAAATCCCCATGTAGGTACCTTAAGGGCGGGTATTATAAAACTACTTTGAGAGTTAACTTAAAGTTAACTTCTGGAATAACGTGTAATTCAAAAAGTTAACTTCAAGTTAACTGTTAAAGCAGTTTTATAATACCCGCCCTAAGTTATTCCGGACACACATATGGGGTGTTACAGGAATAATCTTCAACAGTAGAATTAAAAATAATTTTCTCTGAATAAACCACCCTGTATACTTTTATACAGTGTGTTTAAAATAAAATCTTTGGCTGGAAAGCAACTAATCACACAGTGGGTTAAATGGAAAAGCTGCCCAACAGGTTTCAAATATACAGGGTGTGAAATTCCGATTTTATTCTAAACACATTGTATAAAATACTTATGAATTCGTACAAATTTCCTTGTTCCATATAATAGCAACAATAAATTCATTAATACTTTTCTTTTTTTGTTTTTGCCATAGAAATTTAAACTTTTCCACTGCGACATGCAGTGAAGATGATTGTGAATACGGCCCGTACAAGAAAAGTACTAAAGTGGCGAGGGTAAGTATCTTATACCTGTCAAATTTGACAGTTATGACGTATATTTTAGGTGTTTTACACAATAATTTATTTTTGTTATCATTTATTTATTTTCATATAATTATATAGGGTGTTTGATTATTATTATTTTTTCAAAAACTGTAGCGATTGAGAAGCCCTGATGATGAGTACGCAAAAATAAGGTCCGGACGAAACGTCGCGTGTTGTTTGTGGTAATAAAATCGATATCAACATGTACAAAATGTAAATTTGTATTTATTATACCAAGCGTTCGAAAAATAAATACCTATATATTTTGAGTCAAATTTTTACTTTTTGTGGACACTATGTATGTGGGTAGAAATTTGAGGCAACCTTGTAACTGAGGTGAGGGTTCATAGAGGGTGCTCAAACCACAGGATACAGGGTGTATCAATAAAAAAAAAGCACTTCAATTTTTCTATAACACCCTGTATATTACTCAGATAAGCTTATATATATATATATATAAAGGAATACATTGTGTTCTGTTCAATTTTGAGTCAAAATGCGTATAGGGTGAAGAAAAATTAAGATTTAAATGAAACATCCTGTACATACTGGGTGTCCAACCAAAAAATTGAAGAGTAACCGAAAATTTTGTTGCCACCCTGTAAAGTGTTTTAAAACGCCTTAAAAGTGGGTTGCGCAGCTAGGAAAACACCCTGTATTTGTTTTAGTTATTCTTTATTTTAAGTTCTAGGGCCAGTTTTCTATCTCCCTGGTAACTTTTATTTATGACATTTGCAAGATAAAAAACTGACCCTTGTGTAAAAAAAAAATACTCAAAAAAACTATAGTTGATTTCAATTATGTATAGTAATTTGTTTATTTTTCCTCAAAAAAATAGCAAGACCCGATGTCGCATCGTATTATCGAAAAACGTCGTCGCGATCGTATGAACAATTGCTTGGCCGATTTGTCCCGACTGATTCCGACCGACTATTTGAAAAAGGGCCGCGGTCGCATCGAAAAGACCGAAATCATCGAGATGGCCATCAAACACATGAAACATTTGCAACAAATGCAAGACGGCGCAGGCGGGAGCAACCCCATGGATCATTATAGGTAAGAAAGAAGTGGCAACCCTGTAAAAATTAGAATGACAACTGACAAAGTGATCTTTCTCCTTCTATCACAATTATTAATTCTAAAATAGTATAGACAGAGATGGTGACGCTACACTTTTTTTGCTTGACACATATAGCCTACTATAAGTTGACATCTGTCAAAATAAAACTTAGCCCTCCAATGTTGCCAAAACCCGTCTATTGACGCGGAGAAAAAGAAGGAGGCCTGGAAAACATATCTAGAGAATCTATTGCATGATGTACGCGAAGAATAAAAACCAACTGTAGGAGAGGGACCGGAAATTCTTGTAGACGAGGTGAGTCCGCCATTTCGGAAATGAAGCCCGCCGCCCACTGCGGCTTTTCCCGCCAGTTCGCCCACCAGCAGCGTCATCGAACCGGGTCCCACGTTGCCAGCTCAAGTACCCAGATCATTGATAAAGAACGGTAAATGTCAAAAATAATGTCAAACGTAACTATATTTAACGATTGTTTCAGGCAATCTTCAAAATGCACCGAAGCTCGGCAACGTTGCCGAGCTTACGTTGCCGAAAGCCGAGCCGGAGAACAGCAACAGTTGCGATTCGCATCCGAACGCGTTCGTTTTCAAGGCGTCAGCGGACGAATTCAGCAACACCGTCGGCAGTTTTTCGCCGGACAAATCGGAGGACTACGGCAACACCGGAAGCTTGTACAAGTTCAAAAACAGCATCAAGATGCGGTTCAGTCAGGATTTGAGTGCGCATGAGGTGCCCAAAAGGCAAAAGTTGGACGAGAGGAGGAGGAGGGGATCGGTGACTAGCTGTTTCGAGAATCAGAGGTGAGGAATTTTTGGACAATAAGTGGCAACAATGCATGGTAACAGATACTTAAATGGGAGACCCTGTATATTTGCTGCTAGTTAAATTTATGCCAGACTCTTCGCACAAAATCTACAAGGTTGACAATAAAAAATACTTTACTGGATGTCAAATAAAACCAACTTTTATTGTCATTCAGTTAATTGCCTGAAATTTCCGTAATTTAAGGATTTTTTCTCAGGCTTTGTTATATAAAGTGACGATAATCTTTTCTAATTAGATAAATGACATGGCAACTGAATACTTAATTGATGTTATTGTTGGTAGAAAAAAAAACCCAAAACCCAGGTGGATGATGAAATATTTACTTTACCGCGCTTTGCAGTTGCAGTCGAAGAACAAATTATTATTGGTTGATGGGAACTCAATTATTTTGACATTTTAGCTTACAGCGTTGCCATCATGTATCTTTTAACGCATATATTGATTTTTTTAGGCAATATCTTTCTAAATTATTATTTGGCAACCTTGTAATTTTTTGCGTCATGTTGCCGTTTCCAGCGTTGCCAACATGTTTTAACTAAGTTCGTATTTTTCAGTTCTAATCAAAGTTCGCCGCCGAGCAGTGCCGAACCGCCGCCGTGTCACAATCGTGTCTCCGACCTCAACCATCCACACCACCAGACCCCAACGCCGCCCCCGGAAGACACGCCGCCTCTGATCAAGCCTTTGCACGACGGCAACGTTGCCGCTATCACCAAAAACAATTACATCCAACAAGACGTGAACTTTAACGTGCCGATATTCGTTTTGCACACAAAGGGCGCCTACTATTTACCGTTAACGATAGACTACAAGACGCTGAAGCCCTATTTACGCGGCTACGACATATTAGAGGGCGGTAGTAATAACGTTATTTTACATCCGGTTACGTTAAGTGTTAATTTTTTAATTAGTAATCATAACAATAATAATAATTATCATAATAGCTATTAGAAATGTTTTGTGAGGCTAAATTAAAAAAAAAAAAGAGGTTTTTCGAGTGCTAAAAAAAAATGGCTGTGACGCATCAGGTCAGGGGAATAAAATGTTCTTTACAAGACTGACATTTGTATATAAAACATAGAAATTATATAAATTTTGTATTACACCAATCTGTGTAATAATTTTGTTAACAAAATGTCAAATCAATCAAAATGAAGGAAAAAATCCTCGTCATATGTATAGTTTTCAAAGTCAACCGATGGAAGTTATGTGAATGCCTAAAATAAATTAAATGTTGTTGAAAAGGTGTTTTTTTTTTAATACTCTAACCGAATTTGAAATTACAGTGTTGCCAACAAAACATGAAAATATTGATAAATAAAAATTTATTAAACCCTATAATATGTACAAAATCAACACAAAACAACTACAATTCAGTATCGTCCCTAACTGACTTTTTATTCTTCCTATTCCGTTTGTGCTTAATATTCGACAAGATTTCGTAGGCCTGCTGAATTTCCATGAATCGTTCTTGGGCTTCGCGCAGCCTGTTGGCGTCCTTGCACTTGTCCGGATGATTCTCGCGGCTCAGCTTACGCCACCTGGCGGTGATTTCTTGTTGGCTCGATGTCGGACCGACTCCCAGTATCTTGTAGGCGTTCTGTTCGCCTTGCGGATCCGACAGATCTATCAGTTGTTTCCAGATTTCGTACCTGATAGAAAAAAATATAACTGTAGTTATTTGAATTTGGCGCCAGTGTGTAGTTGCTACAGTTGACAACTGACATTAGTGACTGTAGCGTCAAACGATAATTAGGCATTCCAACCTCCTGTCAAAGAAACCCAAAATGGCCGGTCATTGGCACACAAATATAGGTAAACACGGCGTTAAATGTGTCTAACTGAAAAGTGACGTTATGTGGATCTGTAACGTAATAGCTACCGTCTAACTGATGTGTGTAATAATCCTTAAACGATTTGTTTGCCTCCTTTCGGAAGTGAGGTTATGTGTGTGACGTCAGCTAGTGCCTAATTAGGCAATCCAACGATGTGTCAAATATGGCCGCCTGTTGGCACACATATGCCCATAACCCTAAATTTCTTGTGTCATCAGTCATCGTACGTCCCTTGTGTTTACCTTTGAGAACAATATTTTTCTGTATTTTCATTATTTGGAGTTCCAGGATTTTGTGATAATTTCAATTTCAAACATGCAACGCATTTTAAATGAATTATTTAGCCAAAGAAGACAAAAATGGATTAGTGCTATGAAATTTTGTTTTCTCCATATACCCGACCGGTTTGCAGCTTCTTTGCAAGTTGCTTCACGTTCAACTAATAGGGTTTCCATTTCATTTGTACTGCTTACTGCTAGGGATGGCAGTTTTTGGAAAAACATCGATGTATCGACATCGATACACATCGGTAAGCAATGCATCGATTTATAAGATACATCGAAATGAAAATATCGATGTGTTCGATGTTTTTAAAAATGCGATATTTTATTTATAATTTCTTTTGTTATTGAAAATAAAATTATAATTGAGTCAATTAAATAAGTTGAATTAAAAAATAAGACAGGCATATCAGCAGAATATAAGCAAAAGCCCGCGGAATCATAACCTGTGGTGCAAACCTTATGAGGATAGGCTATCCTGTAGTAGTAGTGTGTATTATCCTTGGATCGGATCAGCGCGTTTCCGTTAAGGCATTCTATCAACAGCGTTAACTCAACTGTCATTTTTTCATCAAAACTGTCAAGAATAGCGATTTCTATTTTGCAGAACCTAGTGCCGACTGCCGAGTAACAAAAAATGTATTTAAAAAAAATCATACAAACATCGATAGTATCGATGTCGATGTATCGATATATCGACTTATGTTGTATCGATGTAAAAATATCGATGTTTATTGTTTGATATATCGATGTTTTGAAAAAATCGATGTATCGTTGCCATCCCTACTTACTGCTTTTCTTGCTTCAAGCAGATCTCAAGAGCAGATCGGCATTCACTTGTCCCATCATATATAGGCTCATAAATAGCAGGTCCTAGCAGATCTTCCTGATTTTTCGAGCAGGTAGAGCAAGTACAAATGAACAGCCTATAATTATCTACTTTGAATGTAACCGTCCTGAACTTGCCATTTTTGGAAAATAATAATAAAATAATAATAAAAGACGAGGAAACAATCCGAGCCTTATCAATTCCGTTGACACCTATTTAATCACTTTTCCCTACTTCATAAGGTAAATTTTCCAGGTAATAATGAGAACTTTATGATTAATCTATGATTAAACCAGATGATTAAACCTAAACAGGTAAATTTTGCAGGTAAATAGGGCTAAATTGAATTAAAATTCCATCTGTCCCCTATAGTTCAATGGGTTTGTGTGCCAATGACCGGCCATTTTGTATGTCGAAAGTCACGTGATTTGGAATGCCTAATATTTGCAGGTATTCCTAAAATTTTCAGTTCATGGACTTGCGAGTACGAAAACATGTTATTATGTTTCTATTAAATTTTTTTACTTTAAAGATTCGCGGTCTTTTGAACATTGTGAATAACAATTAACAGTCCTGATGCTTGTTCAGTCATAAACAAATTGATTGACGTTTAATTCAATGTTTATCTGTCAACTACTGTGACGGACCTGTTTGAAAGAAAAATTGGTCTAAAATGTGAAAGAGATGGAATTATTACCAGGTAAATAAACTCTATACAGAGTGAGAGAGATGAAATCAATTTTTGTCTATTCCCGGCTCTTGAGTAAAATTCAGTCATATAAACAAATCGATTGACAAATGACGTTTTATTCAATGTTTATCTGTTAACTACTGTAACGGACCTGTTTCGCAAAAAAAATTGTTGTGAAATTTGAGAGAGATAGAACTATTACCAGGTGAATAAATAATGCAAAGTGAGAGAGATGAAATTAATTTTTGTCTATTTCCGGCTTTTTAGTGCAATTCAGCCATAAACAAATTGATTGATAAATGACGTTTCATTCAATGTTTATCTGTCAATTAGTGGGACGGACCCGTTTGACAGAAAAATTGGTGTGGAATGTGAGAAAGATAGAACAATGTAATAAATCTTTTGCAAAAAGGACCGCTGAATGGAGTGGGTTCGCACCTTTGAATATAAAACTACAGGAAGGAGCATAACCTCGAATCTGCGCGACCAAAATATGTGGAGGTTGCATATGGCCGACTAGTGTTTCCGGTTTGGCAGTGGCGTATATTTATTTAAATATGATTGTCAATATTATGGCTCACTCTTTTCGCACTAATCCCAGTGCTCATTATCACTTAAAACCGCCAAAATTCATTAAACATCCACTTGAATGAGGATAGAGCGAACCACCAAAACAAATGATCAGTCCATACTTGGAGGCTCAAAATGGCCGTTTCCGTTCCTGCGTTGTCTGTAGTGACAGATAGAAAATACGCTCCTTCTTGTAGTTTTATATTCAAAGGTTCGCACCAGACCAAATCTTTCGTATCGATGGTACTGTCGGTACTATTCTACCTTTTTGCTAGGTATTCCTGGGCTGGGATTCTGTAACGAATAGCGATATTTTCGCTATCTCTATTGACGTCCCCTCTCTATTGATTTCGAAAAGAGAGAAGAAGACAGCAAGTGCCATAGCGATATCGATAACAATTTCTATCCTTTACAGATTTCCGCCTCATGGGAGGTACGCGATGCGCTTCTATCCTTCAGCGATATATGGAACGTTAAATGCATGCCTCTATTATACAGGGTCGAATTCGACCCACAAGAAAGTTAACGCGAAATCATTGCATCAACATCAGTCATAAATAAATTGATTGTCATATGACGTGTAATTCAATGTTTATTTGTCAACTACTACGATGAACCGTGGATGAACCCGTTTGACAGAAAAATGGGTGCAAAATGTAAGGGAGATGTAATTATTACCAAGTAAATAAACTATACAGAGTGAGAGAGATGAAATCGATTTTTGTTTATTCCCGGCTCTTGAATGCAATTCAGTCGTTGCTATTATTTCAACAAATATCGTTAAGTACTTACCATCCATGATGTTGCGCATACTGATACAAATCGTTCAAAGATTGTTTGAAGTCTGTCCACATCGAACTGGAAAAGAAATGATGCAGGGCCTCGTGTATCGGGATTTCGTCTCCTTCCGAGTTGGTCACTTTACCGTTGAAATACAGATACGATGACCATATACCGATATACAAGACGGCGCAGAAGATCAAAACGGCTAATCGTCGATAGAATGGCCTAGAAAATTCCATTGTACAAATGTAGCGATAGTTTATCGGAAAACTTACTTCTTCTTTTTAGGTGTTTTCCGCCATTCTTTCGAATAAGTGTCAAAAGTAAATGCGGTACCAAACATCATTACAGTGAGCCAAATGTTTTCGTCGTAGTAGTACCAACGGGTCGCATAACACAAATAGGAAACTACAAGTGTCAACCATAGCTTGCCTTGTTCCCGTCCTATATTACCAACAACCCAAACACCTATAGAAAGGAAAATTTGATATCACAATACTTGAAGAAATTGCATACAATCTTGCAACATTGCCTGATAATAAGGACATTTGAAAATCGAATTTTACAAGAAAATAAGTAGTGTAGAATAGAAGGTTCAACGTCAGATCACTACTACTCCGACACCCCCTACTTTCTTTACCAAACACCTCCCATCTATTTTTAAGTTTTTTAAATTTCCATATCTATATTAATTTTATTAATATGAAAAAAAGACGGAGGAAGCCGAAGGAGGACCACTCAAAAATAATCAGGGGTGTTTGGTGTATGGGGGCTGTTTGGTAAAACCTTAAGGAGTCTGATCTTGTACTCTATTCGTATAATTTTAGACAATTCTACAAACAACGACACGCTATAAAACGGAATCGTTCTCACCTAAAGCCACTCCAAATGGTATAAACCAATGCAAGTAGCTATTCCAATTGATACCGTAAATTTCCTCTTCGGGTATGGCCAGCAAAACCATTTGGCCCCATAAATAACTCACCATCAGAGCTGATATGAAACGACTGGTCGAAAATGGTGGCTATACAAAATAATACAAAATTAACTTTCATGTATACCTATACAAATTATTGTCAACTACTTAAGTAAATACTACTCTGTATTAATTATGTACCCTCTGTACAGTTCGCGTAACTGAAGACTGAAACTGGCTTTGAGACAGGTCCAGAAGGCCGTTTCCCATTAAAGGTAGTTTGCACTGGGAGGAGCTTAGCTAGAGGGGCTATTCCCATTAGAGGTCGTTCGCACTAGCTTTAGTCTGCCGGTAATGGATCTAAGCGCTGTATTTATACCAAATAAATGCTGACTCGTCGACACACTTTAGTAAATTTGATGTACACAGTGGTATTTACTTAAGTAAGTAGTTGACATTATTATTGTTACTTTTTTGTTTCGCCTCATCTTTTCAATTAAATCCTCGATAAATTGAGGATCCTGGTTACAATCTCGGACGTATGCTGGGATTTTGAAGATGTCTGACAACCAGCCCATTACGTATCCTCCGAAAGTGGACCACGTTAAAAAGGCTTGGGTGTCGCGTTCTAAATAGAACAAGTGAATACCTATGCAATAAAGGATTATTGTATTTTTTTTATGGAAATTTTGGATGCAAGTTGTTACCGAATATTCCACCAAAAAGCCAAAAGAAATAAGCCCAAAAAATACTCTTCTTTTTGGTTGAATTTGCTGAATTTCGTAAAGGTTGCACCCATTCTGGTTCTGTTGGTTTTTGTCTCGAATTTCTTGTTGTTTCTTGATTGGTATTATTTGTAGGGGAAGTGTTTTGGGTTTTTTCTTGTTGTTGGGCATTACCTGGAATAGAATCAAAAGATTGAATAAAGTCATATTTAGGTAACATCAATGCCATATAATAACTGTATTATTATAGTTGTGGCGTTGATAATCATTGGCTTTTGAATCACTAGAAAATTTCTCTGAAGAAAATATCAAGACCCAGCAACGGTTCAGATTTGAATTATCATCGGCTGGAACATTTTTCTAATCAGAGGACTGATTATTACCGGCGCTTGAATCACCAGAAAACTTTTCCACGGGTAATCAAGAGCCGGGAATAGTTGAAATTTTGATAATCACTAGCATTTTGTATCACTGGAAAATTTCTCTGAAGGAAATCCAGACCCAGTAACGGTTCATATTTGAATTATCATTTGCTGGAACATTTTTCTTGCCCAGAAGTTTGATTATTACCGGCGCTTGAATGACCAGAAAACTTGTGCAAACGAAATCATGAGCCGGGAATAGTTTAAATTTTGATAATTCATGGCTTTTGAATCACTAGAAAATACCTCTAAAGGAAATCTTATCAAAACCCTGACCCATTAAGAAAAAAAGTTATGAATCAATTAAAAATTACCTTTGAAAAATAAACTCAGCATTTTTCCACCATTGGAGAATATAATAATAACTTGGCAAAAGTAGTGTACCATATGAAATCAACAACTAAATTTGTATTAAACAATAATCCATTCAAGCAGCTTTATTTCAAACCACAATTAAGGTGTTTTCTATGAACCCATTAATGTTTAATCATTTGATAATTAAAAGTAGATTAAATATTTTGATTTCAAACAATGTCAATCAAAACGATGACTTACTTTTATTCAATTTCCTATCGTGTCTGTTATAAGCACCAAAAACACCTCCAACATCAGCACTTTGACTATCCTTACTCATCCCGAAAAGATTCCCTAAAGCACAAAAAGTCCCGGAAAGTTTACTTTTCCGTCCTAGTCCCGTATCGGCTTCATTACGCGTCGCCTTTTTGCGATTCCCACTTTCCATTTTTTCAGTTATTGTTAAAACCTCACAGTAGTACACGTAGCATAACTGATAACAACTTTTATTTAAATAATTTAACAGTCTTATTTTGTTTTTATTATAGGTAAACGTAGCCGCGATAATAAAAATGTTCAAATATTATTGCACTACCGAGGAAAGTTTTAAGGTCACTAAAATGATGATGGTAAGGAAACCGTTTTGAAGAATACAGAATTGGTTAAAAAGTAGGTTGCGGATGACGGTTTTACAGTTATACGCGGTGGTACCTGTTTTTGGTACCGCAATGACCGAGAACCCAGACCGATTAAATATAAATACTTTAGGTATTTGAGAGAAATGGGTGAATACTTTCACTGTTTATAGATAAAATACTTAAAAGGGAATTAAAAATTCATAAGTAGGTACATAAAAAAATAATGATGGGTTTGGTTTACACGAGGTATAGGTAGTTGAAAAAGAATTATATTTTCGATTCAGAAACTTGTATTTTAATAAACATTTATCTTATTGATTAAAATACAGAGGTGCCAAAAGAAAATATGTGGATCAAATTGCTACAGCAAAAGATTGAAGTATATAAAAAATGAATATTTGATTATAAATCAGCGTAGCATATAACTAAAGATGTTCATTTCAGTAAATACATAATAATCAAAGAATAATAATCCATGAATCATCACTAACGAATTGTATAGAAGCAAAAAATGCCAGGAAGTTGGTAATGTAAACAATCCTTCTTTTCTTATCTCATGACTGTAAAAAAGATTCAACAAATCGGTACTATTTACTAATCAGTAGTCGACTATTTATCATCGTGGTAGAATAAGCTATTAAAAAAAATAAAGCAGGTATTTCGAGTGTTAGCAAGTTATCATTCTTGACCAAATTGTCCAATTGATTAGTGTACAAATTATTAGATTAGAACCAGCATTTTGGTAAGTTACATGTAATTCAGTAAGTTTGGTAATGGACTTTGAGCATTTGGCACTGGGGTCCTTATAGGGGGCCACACGTCAATTCTGCTTGGGGGACTGTAGATAAGTTTATCGTCACCCTTATGCCTTGTCCAGAGGGGCGTTCCCAACGAGAGGTACTTGCACTGGGGAGACTTAATTCCAGAGGGGCTTTTCCAACGAGAGGTACTTGCACTGGTTTAAGTCTGCCTTTGCTGCGGCTTGCAGCGCAATTTATATTAATTCATTGCTGAATTGCAATAAATATTCGATCGAATCGGCAATTAAATTAATAAGGTTGAATACCGGGTCCTCCTTTCCCAAGCAGCTAGTTGACAATATAATAGAATAGCTGAATGCTCTCCAACTTTTCCAGTGTGTTTTCGAGATAATTAGTGATCATGTTCTATATTGTAGCAGAAATGTTCTTCTTTGAAGAAGATTATTCCAGAAAGGAAACAGTGCAAGTATGTCTTTCTTATTTGGTGTGTAGTTTAGGTTGGTTATGGTATTATCTATCATCACAAATTTGAAACTTTGTCTCAAGTTTTGAAAAAGCTTAAAAGCTGTTTTTCTCGCTGATGGGCTCGCAGTCTTAAATAAGCTTTTTTGTAGCCTTAATCAAAAGTTACAAGTTAGGAAAAATTTCGTGCCGATAGCTTTTGCGGTTTCAGAAATATGGCCCTTTGGAATATTTTTTGAAAATCGAATTTCCATACCCCTTTGGAAAAATTCGAATTTTTAAATTTTTGATTTTCAAAATTTTTGACTTTACCAATTGAAAGAGAAAGTCAAAATTAGTGAAAAAGCGTTTTTGCAATTTATTTTTTCAAGGTTTTAGGGCTTGTAAAAAATTTAAAATTGATTGCGCATTTTGATTTTTTGACATTGCTTCACAATATCGCCCATAACTTTGTTAATATTTCACAAAATTCCGATACAAAATTATATTTTTATAATCATTAAATGCTCTTTGATGTGAAACAAGATTTATAGCTCAAATAGTTTTTAAGATATTAAGGTTCAAAGTTGAAATTTTGTCTTAAATATTGGAAAAGTTTAAAAGCTGTTTTGCTCGAAAACGAAGCTTTTGGGCTCAGAGTTTTACATAAGCTTTTTTGTTGCCCTAATCGAAATCTACAAGTTGGGAGTTTTTCTGATTTCCAAAAATAACATTTCGTTGCATACTCCTTAGAGAAACAGAAGAGGCAACAAAATTTTAAATTTTATACAAAATGTATATCTACTATTCAGTTATGTAAATGCTATATTTGATATTTTAGGTAAACATTACATGTAAAGAGTTATAATTTTTTACTGTTCAATTTTGGATTCACTCGTAAAACCTCTACAAATTCGTAAATTCATAGTTTATGATGATCTGTAACTTATGTGTTAAAAGAATCGTAAAAATAACAATTCTAAGATTTCTGTAAACGTCTAATTTACAGTGTCGCAATAGGAATGTTCACTATTTTTCAATTGTAATAAAAAGTGGTTGTTCTAGGTCCACAAAAAACGTATTAAACGTTAAAACAGCTAGAAACCCTTAATTTTTTCTAATAAATCGAAAACAAAAAACGAAATTAGCGAGGCTAGCAAAACGACCCCTTGCGGCAAGACGTCACGTTGCGGAATTATTTACGATATAATATTTGCCTACAATGTATTTGTCTCTCTTCCGCTCATTGTAGAAAGTATTTGGACAATTAATAGAGTTCACTATTCAGGGTGCTTCCTAACATTCAATCACCAATTAGTTCATCAGTATCTTTATCTAAATGCATATGAAAGAAAAAGACACTTATAGTAATAATAATATTAATATTTTTTATTGCCAACAAAAATCGCAGAAGCAACGTCACAAAAGGCTGATCCAAGTAAAAAGTAGCGCTACTGTACTTACGCGCGCTAACTTGTTACACATTGTGACGTCAGAGAGTGTTTCTTGCTTTTAAACGAATGTCACTGAATTGACGTATTAGTTTACATAGTATATTTACATACACTTCACATAAAACTAATGCTGTTGAAAAAATTATCTCAAATTTATAGAAACTTTACGTAAATATAACCACAGAATGTAGCACTGAGTTACCTGGTTAAAAATTACAAAACGCCTTCCAGAAGGCTTCTATAAGAGCGAATTTAGATTGCTGTAGGACTTTAGGCCAAAGCATTCAAGGTATTCAGGGGTATTTTGGAGCAATTTAGAAACATTTCAGAGTACTTTTAGAACAATTTAGAATTGGAAACCTTTTAGAACTCTTTTGAATCAATTTAGAGCACTTTGGAGCGTCAATAGGGCTCTGAAATCTTATATGTATTTCACCAGACTTTTTAAAGACTTTTAATAATTATTAGATAAGAAATATAGTCGACGAATAAGAGTGATTGACTTGACAAACTAAGTTACTGATAACGTCAGGTTTTATATCAATTTACTAGCGGGCTGTCAACTAGATATTTTATTATTTCTATTCTGCCCAATACAACCTAAAATTGATGGCTTTTCTTTCCAAAAACATTCGTAATAGGACTAATAGGCGGCAAATTTAAATGTTAAATGTAATTTATTCACTAATTTTGGATTTTAAAGTTGACAGAACGCTAGTAATTTTTTTTTTCTACTGTTGGCAACTATGTTCACGCACCGCAATATGGCGTCCAAACAAAAGGTCAATTGACCTCAATGAACTATAACCAAAAACTGGAATGCTAACACATAAGGACGAACTTGAAGCCTAGTGCGGCTGCTGCGGAGGGGATACCTGTTTTTGTCGCACTCATTATGTTAAATGGCGAAAATTGCTTCCAACACGTATTCCAATTGATGAAACCTGTGAAGGGAAATATGACAAAACTTTCGAAAACGTCATATGTCAGCGAGCAACAGAAAAAAACAACATTCCCCCTTGTGGCATCTGTCTTTCATGGCTTCATTTTTTTGGCAGATATGGCAATGTGTGCGCATTCCAGTTTTTAGCTATAGTTCATTGATTGACCTTTTGTTTCGACGCCATATTGCGGTGCGCGAACATAGTTGCCAAAACAAGAAAACCAAAAATTACTTATAGCGGGCTGTCAACTAAATATTTTATTATTTCTATTCTGCCCAATACAAGCTAAAATTGATAGCTTCTCTTTCCAAAAACATTCGTAATAGGCGGCAAATTTAAATTTTAAATGTAATTTATTCAGTAACTTTTATTTTTAATGTTGACAATACGCTAGTGATTTTTTTTTTTCTACTTTTGGCAACTATGTTTGCGCACCGCAATATGGCGTCCAAACAAAAGGTCAATTTAAAAATTCAAATTTTGACTTTTGAAATGACAAAATAAATGACGAAACCAACCAACACAAATCACTATCCACACCACAGATACCTGTAAATTTCTCTTATCTCCCGACAGTGTCGCCATCGTTGACTGAAAACCTAACTAAAAACCTTCGTCGCGATTCTCTCATTTGAGATATTTTTCTATAGGTGATATGTTCTGTGGGTTTTATATCAAAACAACACCTTCTAATATTAAAATAGATCTTTTCAATAATCTTAAGTAGGTATACGCTACATGAAATAGGTACCTAAAGATCGTCATAACAATTAGGGAATCCAAACCACGTGACTTTTGCCAACCAGCCGGCATTTTGAAATTTTTATGAGGTTAGAATACGGGTTCTTACCTTTGAATATAAAACTACAGGAAGGAGCATAACTTCGAATCTGCGCGACCAACATATGTGGAGGTTGCATATGGCCGACTAGTATTTCCGGTTTGGCACTGGCGTATATTTACTTAAATATGATTGTCAATATTATGACTCACTCTTTTCTCACTAATTCCAGTAGATACTTATTATCACTTAAAACCGCTAAAATCTATTAAAAACATCCACTTGAATGAGGACACAACCACCAAAACAAATGTTGAGTCCATACTTGGAGGCTCAATATGGCCGTTTCCATCCCTGCGTTGTCTGTAGTGACAGATAGAAAACGCTCCTTCCTGTAGTTTTATATTCAAAGGTTCTTGCATGTCAACGATGTC